GATCGTGAATCAACGATATCTGATTTTAAGAGCAATGTCTGCAATTTGCTGATTGCCACAAGTATTGCAGCCAGGGGTCTAGATGTGAAAGAGCTTGAGTTGGTTGTAAACTTTGATGCACCGAACCACTATGAAGACTATGTGCATCGCGTTGGCAGGACAGGCAGGGCAGGGCGGAAAGGATGTGCTGTGACATTTATCTCTGAAGAAGATGCAAAATATGCACCAGATTTAGTCAAGGCCCTGGAACTTTCTGAGCAGCCAGTTCCCGATGATCTGAAAGCAATTGCTGATGGTTTCATGTCTAAAGTGAAACAGGGTCTTGAGAAAGCTCATGGAACTGGCTATGGAGGTAGTGGTTTTAAATTCAACGAAGAGGAGGAAGAAGCGAAGAAAGCAGCCAAGAAAGCACAATTGAGGGAGTATGTCTTTGATGAAGACAAGTCTGACTCAGACGATGAGAATGATGTAGTAAGAAAGGCAGGTGGTGATAGCTTACAGTCACAGCAGCAGGCTGCTATTGCTCATGTGGCCGCCATTGCCGCTGCAGCTAAAGCTAATGCTGCAGCGAGTGCTCCTGCGGCTGCTAACCCATTGCTGCCAGGTCTCCTTCCGGTTGCTGTTCCTGGGCAACTTAATGACGGGGCAGGTCGTGCTGCAGCCATGGTTGCTGCCATTAACCTGCAACATAACCTGGCAAAGATTCAAGCTGATGCGATGCCTGAACACTATGAAGCAGAGCTGGAGATCAACGATTTCCCACAAAATGCTCGCTGGAAGGTCACCCACAAAGAAACTTTGGGTCCAATATCAGACTGGACTGGAGCCGCCATTACTACCAGGGGTGAGTTTCACCCGCCAGGACGTAAGCCGGGACAAGGGGAACGCAAGCTCTACTTGTTTATTGAAGGGCCTAGCGAAAAATCGGTTAAGAACGCGAAAGCTGAACTCAAGCGTGTTCTTGAAGACATTACAAATCAGGCTATGTCACTTCCTGGAGGATCACAACCCGGCAAATACTCTGTCCTATAATGTAAGTCGAGAATTCTGATCCAAGTTACAATCTTTGGTGGTAAATTTATATCAAATGCTTGCCTTGTCTTGCATGCAGACAACTGTCTTTCTTACATAATGCCCTAATTCTTTTGGTTTCAAAGTTCAAACTTATGGATCTTTAGTTTCTGTCTTTTAACAGGAAAGCAACCATGAGGTGTGTGATTAAAGGGTTCAAATCACTCAAGAATTTCTCTTTTCCCCTTATTATTGATTGATGTTGTGGAATACAATCTCTGCAGAATTGCCAAATCTTTTTTTATCCGTAGACTTGAACGTGGTGTGATAGTTTCTAAATTGCTTTGCTTTATTGAATAATGCATGTTATTGTTCATCACGCTGCTCTCGCCTCTTTTAATTGCATTCCTTTTTTCTTTTTGCTATGTCCTCGATGGGTTTGGTAATGCGCATTACCGCGTGGTGGCTGTAAAAGAATCGGTAAAATCTAGTTTGAAGCAGATGTTGAGTTTGGCTTTGCTCTTAAACCGAATAGCTCTGCACTTTTGTTACTTGCATCAACTTCCCCATTTACAGAGCTTTTCGCATCTTTTCCGCAGGAGAGAATCCATGAAACATGAAGGTGTCGAAGAGATGATGTGAGTTTCTTAAAGACTTTGAGTTTACTTTGGTGGTTCTGGATCATGCGTCTGCTTAACCATTACTCATACGGGTTCATGGGGTTACCAATGTCGTAAACGGTGAAGGGTGTGACTTCTGAGTAATGCCAAAAGCTGATGTTGCATTGGTATGTAGTTACTGGTCAAACAGCGGATCAGTGATCAACATAGTTGTCAAGTAAAAGCGCTTGTATGAGAGATATTGTTTGTGGATTCAAAATTAAAACTAATGGTTCCGAAACAGCGAATTAGGCGAGGGGATACTTAATCCCGAATTGGCGGATTTTATAGAAAACGAATGCAGCCAGTAATCATGGGAGGTATACGAGTTTGGCCTAATTTCATATTTTAACATGTCAGATGACTCAATATAATCAAAGTTTCAAACACTGGAGTCTTGGATTGTATTGCCACACTTGTAAGTTGTAACAACCGAGCAAAAACCTTGTTTTCGAGAATTCATAATAGCATGATAATATAAAAAGTTTGAAACCTAGTAGAGTAGAGTATAATATTCCGAAACAATTCCCGCAAGTCATCGTATTAGATGGCACGAGACTCATGATCACTGCTCAGCATATTGTGCCTCCATAAAGAATTTGCTTGTTATTTTTTTTTGTTGAAATTTTGTAATATTACGAGGAGATTAAAATTTGGATTTAAAGATTACTTGACGTGTAGTATCAAAGATTCAAAATACACGTGTAGATTCAGTGTCCCGTGGAACAATGATTTGTTCAGTTATGGTAGTTATTAACTACTAAAAGTAGAAGCGAGAGGCCATGCAAAGCAAAGTCTGCGCCAATTTGGGGTTGAAGAGAGCGAGAGCGAGAGCCAACTTCCAAGTTTCTTTTCTTCTTCTAAATCTTTTGGATTTACGTTTGGTACTCTCTTTCACTGCTCGAGAAGAAAACGATCCATCTCCATTCCTCTCGATTCTCTTCGTCTTCCAATAAGGTAATCAATCACCAAACGATCTCTCGGATTTCGAAAATCTGCCGATCTCTCTGTTTAGCTCGAATCACTCGTGATTTTGATGTCGTTCGTAATTTTAGTGCGTAATCGGTTGTTTGAGTTTTGAGATTGTGGAACAGGGCAAAATGTTGATGCTAATGTTTGGAATTTTCTATCAGATTCGCGAATGACGACGAAGCTTTTGGACCTGTTCATAACCTCATCGATACCAGTAGCGAAGATTCTGGTGATAACAGGAGTTGGATTCTACTTGGCCCTGGATCGAGTTAACATTCTGGGTCCAGATGCTAGAAAACATCTCAACAACGTCAGTTTTATTCGTCACATTTTTGATTAATTCTCTCAAGTTTTATTCGTCACATTTTTGATTAATTCATGAGTTTGTTACGTAACTTTTTTTTTTTTTTTAACAGATAATTTTCTATGTGTTTAGTCCTTCCCTCGTTGCAAGCAGTCTAGCTGGGACTATTACATATGAGAGCATGGTCAAAATGTAATCTCCTGATTCTCTGGAAGAATCAGATAATTGAGTTTGCTTGACAATGGTTTTGCGAAACTTTCAGGTGGTTTATGCCAATCAATGTTCTGCTCACATTCATCATTGGCTCGTTTCTTGGCTGGATTGTTATCAAAATCACTAAACCTCCTTTGCATCTCCGTGGCATTGTTGTTGGTTGCTGTGCTGCTGGTACGTCACCTAATACTATCACTCCTACAAACGTTGTTTTGTAGAATCCAATCAAGAAATGAAAATGTAAAATCCAAACAGGGAATTTGGGGAACATGCCACTCATCATAATCCCAGCTATATGCAATGAAAAAGGAAGTCCTTTTGGAGATCCTGAGACTTGTGAGAAATATGGATTAGGTTACATTGCACTCTCAATGGCGGTATGTTGCACTCTCAAGGGTTTATTTATTTATTCAGGATGTGTTATAATATGCTAATAGAAGTCAAAACGTTTTGCGGTGTGTATCAGATTGGAGCCATTTACTTATGGACTTACGTATACAACCTTATGAGAATGCTAGCAAATACGGGAAGGGAAACGCCATTGATCGGTACCTCTGCCTCCTCTACAGTGCCACTGATTCCTACCACTGACGTAGAAGTTGAGGAACAGGTCTCAACAGTTACCATTTGATAATTCTTGAAAGCTTTATTGATGCTTTAACTTATGGTTTTTTGGGGTTGATTGTGTATGTGACAGTTTGGAATTTGGATCAAGATCAAGCAAAGAGTGTGTTCCGTAGCAAATAAAATCAACCTACGAACCATATTTGCTCCTTCAACCATTGCAGCGGTTTGCTTTCAACGTAAACAAAAGAATGGTAGCTTCTCTGTATGTTCATAGTATAATAAGCATTTTTTTCTCTTCAGCTTATTGCGCTTGCGGTTGGGCTAATCCCTACACTAAGGAAGCTACTAGTTGGCAACACAGCTCCACTCCGAGTGATTGAGGACTCGGTATCTCTATTGGGGTATTCTACAACACGTATATTTAATTAAGAATATGGCTTGTCTGTCAATGATTTTTAAAATGCTTAGTTGAGTAGCTTAATCCACTTCTTGAAGGGAAGGGACGATTCCTCTTCTCACTCTGATTGTAGGAGGAAACCTTCTCGGAGGTAAAATCAAACAAATAACAAAATCTGCAAAAAGGCATTATTCCAAGAGACTAAACCTTAATCTCTCTCTCTCTCTCTCTCTCTCTCTCTCTCTCTCTCTCTTTTCAATAATAACAGGTCTGAGAGGTTCAGGAATGCACAGGTCAGTCATAATGGGAGTGGTGTTTATGCGTTACGTGTTGCTGCCAATATTAGGTGTTTTCATAGTAAAAGGAGCTCATCACTTGGGTTTGGTTTCATCCGAACCGCTCTACCAGTTTGTTCTTCTCCTTCAGTATGTCGTTCCACCGGCGATGAATCTTGGTTTGTTCCTTCAGACTCAGAAAATTTGTCTTTCTCATAGATTCACTTTCACTTGACTTTGACCCTTTTTGGCAGCTACAATCACTCAACTATTCGGATCAGGAGAAAGCGAATGTTCTGTGATTCTTTTTTGGTCTTACGCTCTGGCTTCGGTTTCTCTAACCATCTGGCCAACATTCTTTATGTGGCTTGTAGCCTAAACACACACACACAACACATGGAACATTTGTGAATCTCTCTACTTTAGAAAATCAGAGCGATTGATTATATTCTTTCAATGTTAAAGGAGTTGAGGTTACACAACTGGGAATAGAGAGTTGAAAAAAACTTAATCATCCTAAGAAACAGCAGATAAAATGCTTGAGACAAGCAAATACAAAGTTGGAACGAAATATACTACTGCGAGTACATAAAGAGAGCCTCTCAGAGAGAGGACTTGTCAGGTAGGTCATCGAAGTAAGGATGCTCCATAGCCTTCTTTGCCGAGATTCTTTTCGATGGCTCGTACTCCAGCATTTTCTGTTTACAAAGAAAAGAAAAAACGCAAATTACTTTTCCAGCTGAATGATTCTCAACTAATCAAGCACTGTCTGAGAGGTGTGTTGGAACATTTAAGGGACTTACTGCTAAGAGATCAAGTCCAGCCTCGTCGAGGTTTGGAACAGCTGTGGAGAGGCTCAACGGTTTCCACTGTGGGTACTCGTGCCAGTCCTTGAGTGTGCTCACTCCAGGCCACACTTCTTCGTTTGGTGTTCCCAGCAACCTGAAAATGAAAGAACATAGAGCAATCGAGTAAGTGAATGTTATGTGTACGTGTTAGAGAATGATGATGAAGAAGACAAAGACTTACCTGAAGATACGGAGGAGCTGTTGGAGCTCAGAGTCTCCAGCAAAGATTGCTTGCTTGTTCACTAGCTCAGCTGCAAAATCAAAAGGAAACAAAAGTGTTAGTTCCTGATATAAAAGTGACAATGAAGTGAAGCTAAAAGAGAAGAATTTGTACCAAAAATGCAGCCAACGGACCACATATCCACTGCAGTTGAGTAATGTGTTGCTCCAAGCAGGACTTCTGGTGCTCTATACCACAGAGTTAAAATCTGTCGCAATGGAAATCAAGAGGGAGAATAACAACATAAGTTAACTCCAGATAAACTAAGATATGGATATTATGAAAGAGGAATCTCTAATGTTTAATCAACATTGACATATACCTCATGTGTGTACTTCTTCATTGGGAGAGTGAAGGCTCTGGCCAATCCAAGATCTGCTATTTTAAGCGTCATAGTCTTCCGGTCCATCAGGAGATTATGAGGTTTAAGATCCCTGCAATGAAACCGAGAGATGTAATATCAGTAATCTGTTTCCAAATGGGGTTTCCCAAAGCATTGTTCTCCTGGAAAACAGAGACTGGTTTTAATACCTGTGCAACACTCCATGGCCATGGCAGAAAGCCATCCCTTTGCATAGTTGGTACATCAAGCACTGCAATCAAGATTCCAAAAGTTAGTTTTTCTTTTAGCTTATTCAGTGAGAGTGAAAACAAAAAAGAAGAAGAAGAGAAGCTCCAAGTGTAGTCAAACCTTGACAGTGTTCTGAGGAATGTTCTGTCCAGCTTGCTTAAAGCTTCTGATGAATTTCTTGAGATCAGTGTCAACGTACTCGAAAACCAGGTACAGTACCGTTTTGCCTTCTTTGTTCAATCCTTGCTTCACGTCCATCAACCTGAAGAAGAAGAAGAAGATGATCATTATCACAATAAGTAAATGCAGTCACTACATAACCAGAGAGCCCTAAGTATTTCGTATTCAGGATCATGAATGGCCTCAATTGAAGAACCTAATCAGACTATAAATCATCTTTTCACGAGACTGGAGCACACAACAAACAAGATCTACCTCCTAAAAGTGACATAAAACGAGAATTGCAGGAAGAATCGGAGCCGTCGAATCAATTGTCAGATCAAATAATCGGGAAATCGCAGAAAGAGAGACTAAACCCTAGAAAAGTACCCAGAATCCAATCAGAAATGTGAGAATCAATTACCTAACGATGTGGGGATCGCGAGCGAGCATGCGCAAGATGGAGATCTCGCGGAGAGTGGTGGGAGGAACGCCTTCTTCGTCCTCGTGGAGACGCGTCTTCTTCAAAGCGACGATCAACCCAGTAGCCTTCTCTCTCGCTCTGTACACTTTCCCGTAAGTCCCTTCACCGACTTTCTCGAGCTTCTCGAAGGCTTCCATGGCGGACACAGCAGTTTTAACTCCAGTCTCCATTTTCGCTTTTTTGTTTTCTCTCTCTCAAGAAATCTCCTCTTTCTCCGCAAATCTTAGATGTTGTTGTTAATGGGGAAGAAGAGAGAAGAAAGGTAAAGAGAGGTTTAGATCGATTTTATAGGTGTAGAATCCTTCTTTTGAGATTCATTTTGGCAACGGTTCTTATTTCAAAATTCAAACCGGAGCGTCACCACTAGGGTTCTTTTTTTTTGTTTTCTTTTAAGCTGTAACGCGAAATCCCTATATGGTCCTTTTTTTTCTTTCCTAAACCGTGGTTTCATGAAATTGATTTTTTAAACCAAAAGATTGAGACTAAAGATCTGATTGGTCATGCGAAATTTCTTTACCAATCAAACTTTATATTTTCATCATATTCCATTTACATTCAGGATTTCTTTCCTACTCAGTGCTGCTAATCGAACAAAAGAATAACCAATATGGCAAATATGAGCTTTTGCATAATTAACCGAGTTTATATTTTTGTCAACATAGAAGCATAATGACATAAAGCCTCTATAATCCAAAACCTTTTCTTTTGTTTTCGCTTTCCAAACTCAACAACATTGAAAATGAAGTTTGCACCGAAAAGAAAAAGAGAACAAACAATAAACACGAAGTGGGAGATTGAAGTGTTTATGCAAAAGATCAAGAAAGCTCATGAAAGAGATTGAATATAAAGAGTTTTGACTCTTGCGTTTAAGCATATTGTTGACCATTGTTTGAAGATGAAGAAATAGTAGTGAGAACATCAGTCACTGAAGCCATCACGCTCAGTGCTGCCTTGAGTACATCTTGAGAACATCCTGGCTTCACTATCGTCCTCACCTGAGCCACCACAAAATGTGTACAATCATTTAAATATTCGATGCTGATGAAGAAAAACACACAACAAAAACCAAAAAAAGAAAGGAAAGCCAAACAGGTTTTATTACCTGGTCAAGATATTCCTGCAGCTTCTTGATACGGCCCATGTAATCTTGATCTTCAACGCAGAGACTCACTGCTTTAGCATCAGCACCAGGACCTTCATACTGAAGCGGTCCTGGGTTTCTGTACAGATCTTCCATCAAGAATTTCTCTGCGTTCTGTCTCAAAAGGCTGCAGAAACAGTAGACAAAATACTTGAGAGGAACGCTATTAAGCAAGTGTTGTTCATCCTCTTTTTTATTGTGACAAAAAAGGTTGCTTACTCGTATGCTTTGCCTTTCAGATCCACCATAGCTGGATGTATTGCAGGTCTACCGATTGAAGTTGAAGTAGCACCAGCATTCTGGGACCAATGCTTCACCGTCATCATCGCCTGAAAAGGTTATATACCAGAGAAAAAAGAGTGAGAAACTGTACAAAGGTTGTATTTTGAAATACAAACGAAGAAGATGAAACTCAACTGTGATAGGTGCAGCACCACATTTCCACTTGTTTACAGGGCTTTTGAGGTTGGTCACTGTTGCCATGTAACCGTTCAGACCAGCTGCGAGAACGTGGTAGCATATATGTCCAAGAACCTGACAGAATTGTTCCATTCAACAGTGTGAATATTTATTTCATCCAAATGGTTAAGTTGTATGTGTATTGTGGTGACTGGTAAGAGTGGAAGTGACTTACATAGGCGTAATCACAATCGAATTTCGATGGAAGAGATCCACGAGCTTGGTAACCAAAGAAGTGACATATGGCATTGAATTTCTTCCCCTTGTATGTGCCTTCTTTCTGTTAAGTTCAAAGTTTTGAACTTTATAGGTAAAAGTGTATTTGGATGACACAAATAATGAGAAACATGAAGCACATACCAAGCGCTTGTTCATTTCAGTCTCTACAAGATACGCAAGAAGCTTTTCCGTCTCAATCTGGAGTAGAAAAGAAAACAAGCAATTAGGATTCCACAACTTTTTTTATAACATGGTAGCTCCAGCATTTTGTTTATTCGTCTTACCTGGGATAGCTGAGCAGTATCATCAGACTCGGGATGGAGAAGTAGCTGAAGCAGCAACAAAGATGACCATCTTGTAAGCATTTCATACTAATTTGCTTTGAAGGAAAACAAAGATAAGTCTCACGTCAAAGAATTCAAACCTGTTTCTTAATGAATGGAGGAAGAAATTCAAACAACGCAGATGACCATGGTGAGAGCTGAGTAGAAATCTTATCAGCAGCGACACCCTGTCTAAGCAGCCCGTGAATTTCCTGCATCACAAAATGTCAGCTTAGACATGATATATACAAATGATAACTACAGATGTCTACAAGTATCAAATCGTTACCTTCAACAGAGCGTAGACTTCAGGAATACTCGCTATGATTCCTTCGGGAATGAGGATGACTCCATGATTCTTGTCTGGTGCACGGTATAGTTAGTGAGCAATAATAAAATACATGAGTGCAAAAATCTTTCATGTATCGTTTTTCACTATGAGACCTTGTCCTGCTCTTGCTTGAACGGCATCACAGATCTGTTTTGCAATGTCAAAAATGGTGAGCTTAGATGCTGCAACCTCCTCGCCTAGTATCACCTGAGCCAAACGCATCACATGCAAATGAGAGTCTAGAGACACCAGCAAGCGAAGAGAATCAATTGTCTATGTTTGGAAACCGAAAAGAAGAGACCAACCATGTTTGGATGAGACTGGAGGGTACATTCAAGGGCAACATGAGAGTGCTTCCTACCCATGAGACGGATGAAATAATAATACTGCCAATAAAAATAAGTAAGACTTATCAGAATCATATAGCACAACTGTGCACTGCTCACTTTGGTAAGATTCCACATCCTTGGATCAAAATATATCTTATTATCAGAATACGAAGCCAATAGACTGCAGTTAGACTAGACAAGTCAATGGTTACAACATGAAAGTTAAGCAAGAAATAGCATTTACCTTCTCAGCAGAAAGAGCATCAGTGCAGGCATTGCTAATGAGCTGAGAATTCACCTATACGAGGGAAAATGTCATTAGCCAAAAGTACCAGAACAAAGGCATACTGTTGGCTGCAATAGCTTACTAAAAAGAACTAAGACAAAAATAACCATGTGGGATTTACCTTGCAGATGGTGTCAAACCCAACGTTTGCCTCCACAAACTGATTCTTGAGATCTCCATTTATAGTAACTGGAACACCAACTACCTGAAATAACATGAGTAATTTACTATCAATAGATGTTCTGTTGATTCATAAAGGGATTTAAAATGACACTACAGAAAAAAGAAAACAATGCTAAACAAAAGTGATTAGGACCTTTGTTGGGCATTTTGCTTCAGCAAAAAATTCAGCAAGATGAGCCGCATCTGTGTTTGATATTACGCCTTCAAAAATCCCAATATAATTTCTTTTAGTAAAAAGTTAACCACACAACTTTTGCCAATGGTATATAAATAATAAAAATGATAGGTACCTCCAATAATAACAAGGCCATCTAACTTCAAATCTGTGCAGGCTTTGAGTGCCGCGTTAACCTGCTCAGTGGTTCTGATCTGATCCTTGGTTCTTCCCAGCAAATCATAACCACCTTAACACATACATTAACACATTCATAACTATCAGAATCCTGCAATGAAAAAGATTCTGGAATATAATGACAATGCCCTCATCATAAACCTACCCTGGTTTTTGTAAGTCTTGAGTATATCTTCTGTGATTTCCAGAGTCTTTTGCGCAAATAGGCCTTCTGAACCACCTATGGACATTTTCACCAGAAACAAATAAGTACCTTTATCACAAAGTATTGCGCTTGATGAACCATGAGTATCAGAGATAATGAAACTCACTCAAAAAGCCTAGCAAATTGCTCTTTGCGTTGTGAACCTTAAGAGCCTCGTAAAGGCCCCAGATTACATTGTGTCCACCAGGAGCTTGCCTTCCACAAAACACGATTCCAACTCTACAGTAGATAACAGATTAGCTTAAGCTGAAACATAACATAGAGCCAATCTGGAAATAAGGACTACGATGCGCCGCACCTAATTGATGGAAGCTCAGTAATGATTTGAGCATCAGAAACTTTAGCAGCTTCCCTGAGGAAGTGAGCCAAAGGCTGGCCTAAGGTGTGTGGGAAGGCACGAGCCATGATATGGGAATCAGTAGCCTCTGACACAGTGGTTCCATCACCAAGCTCCACACGGACAGTTGTCCCCTGAAACGAACATCAAGCAGAATAATAGAATGAGCAAATTCAGCAACAACCATGAAATCTGAAAACTAAAGTAAAAATTAAGACTGTAAATCCAAAACGGACGAAACTAAGAATCCGGATAAAACAGATCGGAGATCATTTCAAACTGGAAATCAGATCTGCTAAAGCAATACCAACATAATCACAATAAACAAACAGCAACAGAAACTTCACATAACTGCAAAATACAACCATAAGAAAATAGCAAACAAGTAAAAGAAGCTTTCAAATGAAAGAGAATAGATCCAATGATTGGAGCAAGTAGAAACAATGGAAGGAAGCAATAGATCTATGGAGGAGCAGCAGAAGAAGAAGGAGAACCTGGAGACAAGGAGGAAGCTCGGGTTGATACTGAGATCGGAGCTGCTGAAGAGGAGAGAGTTCTCTGGCGATTCCAAAATCTGAATCCATGGCGTTAGGTTTTATGTGCAAGTGTTTGGGGTTTGGTGGTGAGTGAGAGAGAGAGACTTTGAGTGAGTTTGTTTTCCTCTTTACTTCAAAATATATATAGCAAGGAGGGAGGAAGACGGAGAATATACCTCCACCAACCCAAAAACATCTTTCTTACAACGATATTTCTTGGTCTCGTCTTTCAGATTTTGACTTCATCTACAATTTTACCCTCTTTACCTCTACTATTTTACGAGAAGGCCACTAAACCTCTAATCTCAAGGGACTCGATACTATTCGGACTAATATCTTGGTTTACAAGTTTTTATCAGATTTTCTCTAAACTCACAACTCACGATTTATTTGTTAATCACAGAAGTCACCTCAAGTCTTAAACTCAAATGTACAACAATTATCAAAGTTACTGCATTTAACTTGGTTTGGCCAAACGAAACCAGGACAAAAGCCATACAAAGGTCTAAAACTCGATGAGTAAATCTAAAAGTGGTTTTTTTTAGCACCGGACTAAATCATACTATTCCCAAGAGGTAAAACAAAGGGATAACAAAAGAGCGGAACAACGATTACACTTTAATATTCTCCTCAGAAAGTTGACATTACAAAACAGCATGAATAACAGCGAGGTTTACATGGAAGACAAGTTATCATCACTCTCCAGAAGCAGGCCTGCAACGAACAGAAGAAAGCATATGTCAAGTTTCTGGATTTCAAGTCCAAAATCAATACTCAATCACTTCTATTGAAAAAGTTGTATAACAGAAACTAACCTGAAAAACAAATCACTCTTCCATGTGATCTCCAGCGCCAGATTCTTTGACATCAACAGAGAAGGAGTACTCCTGGTCACAACCCAAGTAAGAGTCGCACATGAAGTATAGCGTGTACGACTTCTCTCCTGGTTCACTCGGTACTGTGAAATCCAGCTTCACCTTCGATTTCCGTTGCAACGAGACACGCTTGATTGCCAGCAACTGGTTCGTCTTGGTGTCCCCAACAACCAGCCACCACCCTTCTTCTTTGGTCTTGGGGTACCTAGGTGCATCCACAGGTCCCACTTCTGTCCTCCCCTCCATGTCTCTCTCGAGCATCACTTGCAGTGAAACCTCTTTTCCAGGTGTCACCTCTTCGCTGTCCACAACCTCGTAAGTGAGGTCGATGTTGGGGAATCGGTTGCAGAATCTGGCAATGTCTAGAAGCTCACTGTCTTTCATCTTGAGAAGCTCTTGGCGTTCTTCGTCTTCCATCTCCACAAGATCAAACACGGTTTCAATGTTCTTCCCCGGATTCTCCACGCATCTTTTGGCCAAGTCCTTTGTGAAGTGAGGGAGCTGCAGAAGCATGGAGTCCCGCTCCCACATGCCTTGAGTCACCATCTGGCTTACTTCCATCGCTAGCAGAGCAAGATTCAACCAGCCATTGCTCGATATCACATCGACCATCGCTTGAAGAAGTCTGGTTGCAGAGAGAAGGACCTCGCGCTGATCCATTACCAAGGTCGCGGGTATGTCTTGCCTCGAGAAATGCGCCTGAAGAAGCGCGTTTGCCTTCACGTGAGGATCTGTGCATTTTGGGTTTTCAAAAGAGAACCTCTGGTGATTGATGAGCCTCCGAACTCTCTCCTCTTCCCCTGGCCGTATAGGGATCATGTCATACTCCGAGGCTGATGTTAAGATCTCAAGAAGTCCCTTCATCTTGGTTTTAGAAGTCAAAAGTGAACTGAAACGCTCGATGGTGGTGTAACTGATGTAATAATAGGAAGCAATCATACCCAGGTTGAGAGGAGAGAGCTCCATCTCATCCTCTACCTCAATGCATTTACTGGCTTCTAGATTAGACAAGGTGTTCTCGACAAGCTCTGATAGGTGATCAGACAAATGCCTGTGGCTAACTCCTTGGAGATTGTAGTAGTTAGGGTTCTGGGGAAGCCTCCTGTACATGAAAGTCCATGTAATATAATCCACAGCATCTTGCTTGTTCTCTATAACCCCAGCAACCACTTCTGCGTTGAAATTATCATGCAAGAAATGCTGGAGGTTACTTTCCACGGGGAAGGCTTCATACAGAAACTTCTTGTAATACTCTTTGCGCGGTGCATGACAAAATATCACACACTTCCCAGCATTGTCAAGTAGAGGTCGGCTAGCACGCCCCATCATCTGAAGCAGATCGGAGACGGGATAGTCTGAATGTGAATTTTCCCTTCCATCATAATACTGCGTCCCCATTACGACCACCAGATGTGCAGTTAATGGAGTCCCCCAACACAATGAGCTGCTCATCACACAAACCTGAATCCGTCCAGCTTCAAAGAGCTGCGTCACAATCTCCTGATCCAGACGTCTTAAACCTTCGTGCAAGTACCCAACACCGTGGCGCAGTGTCTCCTTCAGTGTTGCCTCGTGGATTCTGCCAATAAAAGCTTCCATTTCTTCCAAATTCCCTAACAGAAAATCAGGGCTCTCCGGATTGTCCACGTGAGAGTAAGCCATCAGATCCACAGCAGTCGAACAGACATGTTTACGGGTTGGGACAAAAACTATAGCCGGCTTCTGGTTCTTGGCATGCTGGACTATGGCGGTGTAGGTTGGCTTGGTCATTGCCTGCATCCTGGCTTCAAAATTGGATATGTCCACTCCTTGAATGTGTATCTCCAGTGGAACAGGACGTACTCCAGGAGGGAAGTTGAAAAGGCCATGGGAACTGGCCCCAATCCACTCCCCAAGATCTTTTGCATTTGCAAGGGAAGTGGAAAGCGCAACAATCCTGATCTTATTCTTACCCTGACTTGAAATGTATCTCATTCTAGAGACGATTACCTCCAGCACTGGACCACCTTGACCTTCAATGAGATGGAGCTCGTCGACAATGAAAAGACTAACTTGTTGAACGTATTTTCTCTGTTTCCACCTGCGGGAAAGAGCATCCCATTTCTCAGGAGTGCTTATGATTATCTGACCTTTCTCAAGCAGCTTAAGATCCAACGCAGTCTCCCCAGTTAGCTCAACAACCCGTAAACCAAGACCCTTCCCAAACTTCCTCTCCCAGATACGAAACTGCTCCTTAGCAATAGCCTCAAGCGGTGCAATATAGACAACACGCATTGTAGCATCAGGTCCTTCTTGATGATTCTTCAGTATAGCAAACTCCGCACATATAGTCTTCCCACTTCCCGTCGGAGCAGCAACCAACACATTGTCGTTCGTGTTATACAAAACAGTAAAAACCTGAGTCTGCACTGGATTGAAGTGCTTGAAATCCTGATAGAGTCTCTCATAATTTGGATTCCTAAGTGCCGTCACTGGGAGGGGCTGCAAGTCCAGTAGCTCTGTAGCTGGTGGATACTTCTCTGGAAGAATAAGATGTCTGAAAGATATAGGCAACACAGTTTGCGAGCCAAGCCACTTGTCTGAAACCACTCGGACAAAATACTGAGGTGGCAGCGGTTCAAAGATTGGCACAGTGAAGTTCAGAGTGTGGTCCTCTTCAACATACTGCTTCTTCAAAAGAAAATACTCGTGATGAAGGATCTTCTCACCATCATTGTCTTCCACAATTATCCAAAAAGGCTCAACATATTTATGAACTTTTTCATCCCACAGGAAATCAGGTGTAATTGTAAGGTCTACTCGCAGAACAGTTCGAGTAATAGGCTGCACATGTGCTGCAAGAGTCACTTTTGGGAACTGGTGGATGAACTTGTGAAGCGGTCTGCCCATCTTAGGACTGCGAATAAGCTCTCCTAGCTCCTGTGCGGATAGATCATAGTACCTCTCCCACACCAAATCCTTCTTCTCCAACTTCATCAGAATCTCATTGGGAATTCCATGAAACTGGCGAAGGGGTGTCTGGACACTCCACATTCTCTTCCCAACCATTTTAGACAAGTTCAGGGTTTTCTCAGCCAGTTGAGCCCATCCCCGCTTCAATACGATTTCATAAAGAGCCCGTACAAGACGTCCAGCACTCTAAACATGATAGAGAAAAATGAGACGTTAGTACCAGAAAACAGATACAGTCATTTATAAATTATCTAGGAGATATGTGAGAAGAAAGCATAGAGAACAAGGAAAAAACCTGAGTAATATAAACCATGTCAGATGTCAATGAAAGACCCTCCAGCTTCAGCTGTGAAATATATGCCTGTAGCAGAACATTAATCTTTGCACTGGGCTCCTCCAGAGTTTCCTTGATCGGAATTGGGACACGATCCAAAAGTTTTGCCAATTCCATCTTCTCATCTTGCCGAACAGTCACATACTTGAACTCATCACTCAGTGAAAAAAGACGATAAAGATCAATATCACCCATTGTTGGCTTCAAATGTTCGTTGTATGTGGCTATGGTCCCATGGGATATATAGTAGTAGCTAGCAATGCGGCCCAAATCAGTAACTTGGAAATATCCACTTTTCCTGTCATACTTGACCAAGCTGTTTTTGTCCAAGATAGTAGCAGCTGAATGTATCTGCAAAAACAACGATTTAAGCATATATTAGACAGCTAGCCACTGAAGATATTTAAGAAGTAAACTTTAGAGCACTGGTATTTAATAACCAAAGGCAAACTCATCATTCAACATTCTCAAAAAGATATATGAAATACTAGATCTCTGATCAGCTAGAAAGAGACAAGGCACGCACAAGGATCCAACAATTAATCATGGACTGCATATAGTAGACAGTAAGGAAGCTCCAGATACTAGGCATAGTACTAATGGGCATTTAACGATAGCAAATAAATTTAACAGTAGATAGAAAAAGCTCAAGATTAAAGCAGATGAAAGTACGTACCAGGTCAGCTCGTCTCTCCTCCAATACTACATCTTTTGCAAGGGCATCAGGTGCTAAGCCATACAGCGTTGGATTACGAACCATACGGATATATAAATACGTATAGCCAAGCCAATGACAAGCCTCTCTAGCATTCTGAACAGTTCCAAGCACAATTTCAGCATTAAGCTGATCAGCAAGTTTGGAAATAAACTGGCTTTCAATAGGTAGTTGCTCATTCATCAAAGAGAGATAATACTGCAGTTCGCTGTAGCCAGTGATAATTATACCCTCCCCATGGCTATCATACTGAGGTCTTCCAGCTCGACCAAGCATCTGCATCACATCTAGAGGACTCAGTTCCATCCACGCCCCTTTCTCAGGATTATAAACCTGGGTTCCTTTAATTATGACGGTATGTGCAGGCAAATTTACACCCCAGGCGAGAGTTGCTGTGGAAATCAAGACTTGCACATGCCCTGCAGCAAAAAGGCCCTCTACTATCTCACGATCACCCCTTGTTAACCCAGCATGATGAATTGCAAAACCGAAAGGCAGAAGTTTTTTCAGGTCACTGTTCTTAAGAATCTCAACCTGACTCTGAAGAAGTTCACGACTTACACTATCTTCTTTCAAGAATCTGCTGAGGGTATCGTTCGCCATTGCGGTGTCCTTTATTGCATTTGCAGTTTTTGATGTTTCCTTCCTCGAATGAACAAAAATAAGAACCTGGTGCTTTCCAGCACCAGCCAATACTTTCTGATAACATAAATCATTCATCAATTGGAACCTCTGCAGCGGTTTTTTAACACTGATTCCAATATACTGCTGATGGAGAGGCACGGGTCTATAGCTGCGGTCAAACTTAAACAACCCTTTCTTAAGATCAACCCGCAAAAATAAGGCCACATCTTCATAATTTGGCAGTGTAGCTGATAAACCCACCAGACGAATGTTCTCCTTCGTGGTTTCAATCTGCCTAATAGTCCTAGCTACAATGCTTTCAAGCACAGGCCCTCGATTATCATGAAGAAGATGAATTTCATCGATTATAAGAAGTCTCACAAGCTGAGTATAAGTACGATCTCCAGACTTCCTGGTGATGATATCCCACTTCTCTGGCGTTGTAACAATTATCTGAGTCTCCTCAATTTCTTTCCCGGTAAGCGATTGATCCCCACTGAGTTCCCTCACAGTAACTCCATAATCCTTCAGACGATTAGACAAATTACTGACGACCTCAGCAACAAGAGCTTTCATGGGTGCAACGTAGACAATTTTGTAATCCCCATGGTTATATGTGTCATCATCTTTGTTCCTATGCATTTCCAGTTGCTGCAGTATGGTGAGCATAGCAACATTGGTTTTCCCAGCACCAGTTGGAGCACAAAGAAGAAGGTTCTCTGCCTCGAACAGCGCAGTATGATACACTTTGCTCTGAACCCTGTTCAACTGCTGCATTCCCTTAAAAGCAGGTTGGGCCCAATGTGGCATTTCGGAGATCTTCACTAGCTTCTCATTTATATCCCCTTTTTCAGTAACCCATGGCACATGAACTTCATCATATCCCTTGCCATGAGTTCTGTAAGATCCTTTGGGAAGTTCACACTTCTTATTCGCCATCAAGAGACCACCTTGGTCAAAAGCCAAGTTCTCCAGGTCCAGCATCTGACGCTGACCCTTCAACCAACCACTCTCTAAATCTCTATCAGCAACATCTCTCCTGCCTCTGCCTCCATCTCCACCAGTTTCGTCCTTCAAACGCCGGGCTTCTTCATTAATACTTTTTTGCAGGTTCTCCTCCCTCTCTTTCGCTGTTGCTCTTGTTGCATGCAATTGCTCCACAATTGCCGCCAACTCTGGGCCCAACCCCATCATCTCCTCTTCAATCTGATGCCTCTCATCCTGGTCTTCTGCCCTGGCCAGACGGGTGCACCACACAACTTTAAGGCGGTTCCGCAGCAGAAATTTAACAAGGCTAAATTTTTCAAACTGAAGGTGCACGAGCAGCTTGTTCTCAACATCCCTATCATCCCCTTCAGCGAGTATCTTAAGCAGCTCTTCTGCGAGTACCTGGCACTGTTGTGGGTCAATCTGCTGTTCATAAGCTTGAGATATCTTTCTTTGGAGCCAATACGCATCAATGTCCTGAACGTTCAGATTCGTACCCTCATTTGCATCTCCTGCATCCTCGTCATTAATCCCTGCACCCACCTGCATACTTCCCGTTCTCTGAGGTTCTTCATCCTCCTCGTCATCTTCCTCTTGAACCATATCAGGATCACTCTCCTCGTCGTCTTCTTCATTCTCCTCAAACTCGACAGCCACACCCAGGTCATCGTCAAGCCCTTCATCCTCATTTGCATTACCACCACCAGAATCGCCACCCTCTTGAAAGTCGGTGATCAATTTCCCAATGGAAACAAGCTGATCGAAAACCGGACCAGGAATAGGGTTGAGCAAGTTCTCGATCTCCATCTTCTTTTCAGGGTTTCTTACTGCTTCGTTCTTGAGAACAGCCAAGATCTCATCCGCCGCACCACTAACAATATTCAGAGGTTGCCCACCCAACTGCTGCTGAATAAGACTAAGCATAGCCTCATAAGCAGCCCTTGTCTCTTTAGTCTTGGGCTGGTAAACCACATCATCCGTATCCGTGAGGACACTCTCTTCTCTAAGACGACGCCTCTTGCTCTGCCGAGCTGAACCCGTATCATCCGCAACATCACGCTCCTTCTTCTTAGACTTTTTAAGCTTATCCTCCAGCTCCTGAGGCCTTCCCTTGGCAACACGGTCTCCAAAGGATCTAGGATCGATTTTCCCCCACAGAGTTTCCGGTTCTCCTGTAGGCTCGTGAGTATCGCGAGGACGATTGTCAGTGGTTAGCACCAGACTAGAATTGGCTCTGTACTCGTACTGCTTGAACCTGGCATGCGCTTCCGCACCGCCTCCCAAGTTCGCCATATCCGAAACCTAGAATCAAACCACACAGATAAACAATGTTAACCACAAAACATTCACCCTAAATATACAATAAAGAACCTAATCGAAAACGAATTCAAAAAGAGAAACGAACAAACTTCCAAACGCCGAGGATAAACCCTAATAACCCCAAATCGAGTAAATCAAAGAGAGAGAAACTTACGGATAAAGCTACGACGTCTCTTCTCTAGCTCGACTATCTGCAGCGAGTGAATCTTCGGGGAGAAACCTTGACGGAGATTTAGTTTCTCCGTTCTCGCGTCCTCTTTCTCCTAAAAATCGATCTGTGTAAAACACTCTTCTCTACTCGACTGCGAATGCTTGCTATAACTTAGCGAGCAACCGCCTTACTCCGTTCTAATAACGATGTCGTTTCCAGTAACACTACGGTTCCGATAATGATTTTAGATCTGGATTGGGCTTAAACAATGCAATTTATTATTGGGCTGGGCCTAAACTGTCCAATTTTGGTGATCTGCAAGGGTTGTTATGATATAGGAAAACTCTTTTTGATTGATCTAATCATCTAATAAGTATTAGAGTCATGATGCACATGTGTCAACATAGGTACATCTACAGGTGAAAGTAAACTAGATTTGTCTATAGTATACATGCATAATCAACGAAATTGACGTATAAATGTTGCATATTTCTCAATTTTGCACGTGAATTTAAGTTTGATGTGTTATCCTTCTTATTGTCCTCAGTCAAAAAATTATGAAGACTTGATTGGCTGTCTGTATAATATCAAGTATAATAAACTCGTGTCTGTTTATAATTTCTTGGCTGTCTTGCAGTTCTAAGTTAATCACATTTCTCATTCCAATACCTTCATGTTTGGTTATTCCTTAACAGATTTAACCGCCACATAAGATGATCGAGTTCATCCAGAATCAGTTAAGTTTTGGTGATTTGCCTAATAAAATCCATCACACTGAAATTCTTAATGATGCAGCTTGCTCATGAGTCATGGCATGTGGTCTTAATTAATGCATTTGACAAAAGTAACTTTCATAAAAGGCTTGTATATAAACCTAGCGGCCTATGGCGCAATTGAGAAATCCAAAGAGTTGAAGAGAGCACAGGAGAAGCTATGATAAATTAACTCAGCACCGATCAAATGAATTGAATTGAAGAGAAGGGATATATATATATATGTAAAGTATTTATTAATAACGTCATATGTAAAGTTTATTTTTTTGTTAATTACATGCCAAACATTCTTAGACTAGATAGATATAGTACCTATTGACAAGAGTCGACAAGGTTAATATAATTAACATCAACAAGACCACTTTATTTTCTATAATGTATAGTAGTAATAATCTGCGAATCGGCTTGAAGACGAGCATTTCATATCGGTGTAACTACTTGGTCAGGTGGAATGTGTACTCGCGTTCTTTCCATTCACGATTCACCATGTTTTTTTTTCATAAAATGCCGCATTTCCTGTGGATGCTATAGCAAGTGTTGTTGGGTGCGTGTAGCTCCTCTGATTCCAACAAATGAAGAAAAAAAAAAGGAAGATCAAATTAATGGAGGTGAGGCCCTTTAACAAAAAAAAAAAAAAATTAATGGAGGTGATAATCATAACAACGTAACCGTTAAATGACTCAATGCTTAATCTCTTACAACTAGACACGGAAGATGGTTAGCCAGAATCCTCAATTCCCCTAGTGATATGCTGTGGAAAGAATTAAGCATCGGAGCAAATGTCGGAATCGAACTTAAATCCTGCATGCAAAACCAAAAACGAGAGAGGGGTTTGATTTTAAAAAAAAAACAATGCATCTCAATTTGCAAGAAGAATATAACAACTCGATTACTCTTGTATATATTACCTTCTTGAGTACTCCTTGTGTAGTCAGAATTTGAAAACCACCAGGATTGACACGATCTATATTCAGAGATATACTTAACGAATTGTTCTTGGATATGTGGAACATTGATCCCGACGCTCCTACTTCTGCCACAAGCAGATTAAACGCCATATCCCTATCCCATTTATCTTTTCGGAGAGCTATTTCATCCACAAACAATTGTGGCCTTGTGGGTTCTTCTTGCTCTGTAAATTACAAAGAAACCCCATGGCCATGAGATCTAAATAGAAAAATGTTTAAAGAAAATAAATAGAAAAGTACCCATTAAATTAAGGGCTCAAACCTTCAAGAACTCAACCGCAAGTAACTCGGAGCACCTTGAAGTGAAGGTGGGCATTCTGTCGACAAAATATATAACGCAATACATGTATACAAAATAATTAAATATTGACAAAACCACTCGGTTAGACTTGCCTGGACTCGTATCTGTCTCGGTTTTGTAGCAATGTAAGATGGCTTTGACCCCATTTGAAAATTAAAATCCCCATTTTTGTAATGATATTTGTTTTTTCTTCTGCTCAGTTATGTTGTGTAACTTGTGTTGTTGTTGCATATATGTAGTCAAAGATTCTTTATTTATAAGGTTTTCAAAACTTAAGGTTTCTTTTTTCTTTCTCTTCTTCTCTTCACCTGCCGACGTCGTAATCTATCCAATTTTGGTAAGTTGCGTATGTTAGCTTGATCTACTAAAACTCTTCCTTGCTTGAGTAATGATATGTCATATGTACATGCGGAATATGTAATTTTTCATAACCTGGGTTCCTTTAATAATGATTTATGTTAGCATTATGTCAAAACCAAATTGGTAGAAGTTTCTTACATTTTCATGAAAATTTGCTAAAGTTTTGCTAAATGTTTCCTCTTATTTATCTTTTTCAAGTTAAATAATTTATTAAAAGAGTTATCTTATATATAAAGAGATAATAACTCTCTCCAGTTTGCTGACACCTGTCATTCATCTACTTAAAAAAAAATTGACACGTGGCAGCTCCCATTTACTAAAAAAAAAAAAAAACACCTTTCATCTTCCTTTCGCACTGAAAACCAATGGCTCTTTTTTCTCCGATTTCCCAATTTTTTTCCTGACAACTAGATCTGGAAAACGCCGCTGCTTGAGTCGTGGTCCGTCGTTTTCAGACAGCGACGCTACCATGGCAAGCATCGACGGAAGTGGTCTGTTCCGCTGCTGTTTCGATTTCAACGGAGAAAAAGGCGGAGCGTGGCGGTGGCTGAGTGATGTGGAGTCAGGTTTTACCAAACTCCTAGACCTCTGCAAGTGCACAGATCGCGGAAGTATGGGTATCGAACACAAGGACTGGCTATTGAGTACACTTTGTAACTATAGATTTTGGATCAAGCTAAAACAAAAGTATGATTGAGGTTGTAATGGTGAACCGAACTAGCAAGTATAACGAAGTTGTAAGCAATAAAGGAAAAGCGCTAGGTCATAAGGGCTATCGCAGAGAAGCAAACAATGATCAAGGAAACAATGATAGATTAATTGATTAGAGATATTGGGATATTAAGAACCATCTAGAACACAGATCACGAATATAAAACCATTCCACTTTCGAGACTCCGGCTCCTTTGCTAATCTAAATTGAAGAACAACTCAAAGTATGCTAAATTATCTGTTTCATGGGCAATGCAGGAACGTTAGAAAAAAAAACAACTACATATTCTTAAAAAAAAATACTTTACATGCTCTCAAACTTTATATAATAACGTTACCGGAATATTCTTAATTTTGCCCCGAATGAAAATTGTGTCTAGATCTATCTATGTAGCAAAACCAGAAATTTCTTGATTAGAAAAACATTAAGCACACAGTTTGATTAAAGTTATGTGGTATTATCAAAGGCACTCCACAGAGCTATACATTTTTCGACTATAAATACATGGTTCGAGATGAAAGAAGTACACTACCAACAATTAAAACAACAGATTCAAGAAGTGTATTTCTTAAAAAAAATCTTATTTTTGGGTTAAATGTTTTGGTTTATATCTGATGTGAATGAAATGGTGTTGGTGATTGAAATCACGATTGGTATTTGAGTGACTTGAGAGCAGTTAGTAATATTTATTTCATGGTTCTTATTAGTCGAAACCACTTTCATTTCATTCAACTCACATTGGCCCAGACAGTAACTTAAAGAAGTAAATAAACAATATTACGTATGGTTTCATTCAGTTGTTGTTTAGTTGCTAAATTAAGCATATGAAATTATTTTAAGCAGCACATTTTATACTGACTCGTTTAGAAGAAAGGAAATAAACCAAGTGGTTATAACTCGACTGGTAAAAGGACCCTAGGTAAAGCTTAGAGGTCACAGGATCGAGTGCCGCTTGGGACGAAACCAATATTACATGCTGTGGTTTCGGGTCTAAGGGATGTACGGACTTCGGCCCAGAACCTCTTAGTAATTCAAAAAAAAAAAAAAAAAAAAAAAAAAAACTTTTGGTGAGTGTCTGAGTGATGGAGCGGAGATAAATGAACGTTGTCATAAAACGATTTACGAAACCCTCTTATGCATTTTTAAATATAGACATTTCTTTGCACCAATAAATATAGACATTTCTAGCTCGTAAGAGATTGTTGAACACAAGCTCCTAAGAAAGATCACTGTTTTTTAAGGTTCTAGATGAGTTTACACTTTTACAAACGAGTGTTTTCAAAGAAGAAAACCAAAACCTTAAAAGGAAAGTCCAGGTTTCTATTTCCTTAATTTAAACAAAACTCTAATGACAAGTGACAACGCAAACAAGATAAATACAAAGAATGCTACTGGAAGTTACAAAAAAAAAAGTTACAAAATATAAAATTATAATGAATTTCTCTAGAGAATCAGAAATGAAATTATTTTTTGAAGCACAATGCAAGAAATGTACTAAGAAGAGTGGTTTAGAGTTTTCTCATCCAGCTGAGCCCATATCTGCTTAAGGGATGGGCCTATACATGTTCCAGAATCCCAATTTAGTGAGACAATGATCAAAACTTCGTGCTTTTTTTAGGTAATCTGAGTGTAAACTATAAAATATTTAGCTCTCTAGGTCGAGGGACTGCATTACAAGAATGTAAAATTGTCAAAATATTAAATATACTAATTCCTCACTATAATAAATCGCTGACAGTGTAATAATGAAAAGGGAATGGGAAGACTTTAAATAAATAGTGACAATGACATGGGGAGCTGATTACTTTGAATGCAATCTTCGATTAGTAAAAGGTGGCACATGCAATATGAGACGAAGGTTCATGTGTGATCATGTGAAAACTCGGCAGACCAAACAAAATATCCAAAAATATCTTTTATTTGTTTTATCAAAGGAGATTAATGTATAGATCTCACATCTCAGAGATAATATTGTTATGAAACATGTAATACGTATAAATATCAGCCGCGACATGTTATATACTAATATTGCAAAGAGAAAGCTTATAAGAGATGAAAAGTGGATTGTATCATTAGAACAGAAAACAGTAATTGTTATTTTTTTACAAAGAAAAAGGTGAACAAATATTTGTCAGATAGCGAGATTAATATTGAAGTGTAGTTTAATGATTATCACATAAAACAAACAAAAATTAGGATTGGGAAAATATGAGCTTGTAGGAATGAAATACAGAGAATGTGTGAGAAACAAACAAAAGACGTAGACACACCGAGACAAAGAAAAAGAAGAGCAAAATAGGGAGAGAACTCACTCATGACGCATCGCATATCGAAGCGTGTGAAATGTTGAGAAGTGGAAAATCAAAAGAGGCCAAATGTCGAAAACCCACGTAGCAAACTAGCAATTGCATCAATCATGTGACATTGTGTGTGTGCTTCCATTATCTCTAAAGTTTTGCCGGAGGTATTTATTGCAAAATTACTCTACTTTATTGCAAGAATTTAATATGATAAAGATAAACAGTAGTACCTACAATGGTTATACTTTTTGTATAAAAAAATAAAAGAAAATAAAATGTTGCATAAATTCTTGTCAATATAGTTAAATAGCTGTATGACTAGATATAGGTTTCGAGTATTATTCAATCCTAATGAAGTCGAACTTCATTATAATCTCATGATTTTTGTACTCTTTTAGTTAGAATTATCAAATTTATTGACCATATACTGCAAAATTTGACATATTATAAGTACCAAAATTTATCATCTACTTTGTTTAAATAGAAATTTATCATCTACTTCTCTGCAAAAAATTTCGTTGTTTTTTTGATAAAGAAAAAAGTTCGTTGTTGCATGATAATATATACAGAGATCGAACCGTTAATAGAATTGAAAAGGTCAAAAGATGAAATGAAACGTGACGTGCCACCAACCTAAAACTCAACCTCACCCACTTCACACATTAGCCTAAATAAATATAGAAGAATCCAGAGGAAGAACGTTAATTGACAATAAAATTAGGTTTTCTCCATTTAGCAAACTGTACAAAATTATATCGTGAAATTTAAAGCTTGCAGCTAGATCTCAACGAAAATTCATTTTTTTTTATCAGCAAAGAAAATTATAGTCCTGGTTAAACTAATAGTTTCGATACAAAGGACTATGATATAGCTCGTGTTGCGGCATGTAAGACATGCACAATTTATTTATTTGTATAGTTGTCTCTTTGACCAATTAGCTCAAGTTGGTATATTGTTAATTTTATCGGCTGCTCACTTTATTGTCAATCTAGAAGTGCCAAACTAATAGACGACTACTCCGTATTAACGTGTTTTTCAATGCTATTTACGTCAAATTAATATAATTTTGTCTTTTTACAACTATAGCATCAAACGGCCAAAAAGAAATAAGCTAGTGCCTTGATATAATGGGGCTTGTATTTATACCACCGACTTAAATATCTTTTTTAATTTTAGTCACCACAAACATTTCCCGTAGAGAGGTTGAAAAAGATAAATTCTCTTCATCAACCTATGGAATATCCACGATGATCTTTTCATGACCATTGATTGCTTGGGAATTTATTTAGACTAGTTTGGCATTTACATTTACGTAATAATTGATCTCACTCATGAATTATTTGGATTGCTGATGTTAAGAGGAACTTCGTTTTCCGTGTTGAACAGAAAGCGCATATCCGTTTTGGTAACAGCGGGACCCATCTTCTTCACGCGCTACTTTGTTCTATCTATCCCACCCGAAAAATGAATAATGGTAATTTGTAAGATTTTATTTTTTCATACTAATCATTTCCTGTTAACTTTGCGAAATAGCGTTACTTAACAAAATTAACTACGAAGAAATATCACATGATATATATACACTATTATAATACACGTTGGCAAAAAAAAATAACTAAAATAATACAACGATGATGTAAGAAATTGTGTTTCATCCTATTAAAAGATGCCACATGTATTTATCTCGTATTAACAAATACTTCCATAATTACTGATAGGACGACTGTGTGGTAAATACTGAATTACATGTATACTCCTACTATTCTTTTTTTTGTTTAATGAAGAATTTTCTACCTTTCATGCACATATTCTTAAAAAAAAAAGGTCCATCAATAAGTTTTCAATTCTTACCGTAATTTCCTTGTGGAAAACTTAAGAAAATCAAGCTTCATTTATTAAATAAAAGCCTAAAAAAAAATACAATCTTGTTTAGTATTAAAATTTTATAACAGATTTTGATGATCAAAACCTGTATTAGAAAATTACAATGCATAAAGATTTGTCTGTTCTGTGTAGATATATTTTCAAATCTTATCTCATGCGTAAATTTGTTGGTTGGACAACAAGATAGTGCACTTTTTAAAAATAAAAATCATTGCATTATCCGATCGTTCAAAATAAGACAATTTCTGAAACTTATATAGATAGTTTTTACTATTTTATACAGCAAGATGATAATTATGAACTTATAGAAAGTTTTTTAACATCTATCTAAATTTTGAACAATCATCAATATTTAAAGTTAAACCATTTTTACTAATAAAGTATTTGGATAAACTTCATAACCAACTACATAAGTAGTATACGATTTAATCACGTAAAATCTACTACAGTACTTTTTAATAATACTAGTAATTATCAATATGATAATCATAAATAGATCTTGAAGTTATCATCAGTCTTAACAGTTTTTTGGAGAATTCTGTAACAAAATTCACGTAGTTATACCAAAATTTTACAATATCAATAGGAGTAGTAAAATTAAGCTACTTTATCCCTTACTTTCTGGTAATCCAAATATGAAAAACATAATGACATTGCTTAAATGATAAATAGGCAAAAAATTAAATAAATTCAAATCTGATTAAAGGAGCCCTCTGTTCAGCAAAGAGGCTTCTCGACGTTCCCTTCTCGTCCTTATTCCTTAAGCCAGCTGTTTTCTTCTTCTTCTTCATCTCTCTCTCTCTCTCTCTTTCTATTTCTTCGCTCGTCGAACTCTCTTGCTCGCTCCAAAATTCCTTAAAATCCTCCTCTGTCAATCGGCATTGTCTTACCTGCCGATCCGACTATCTCAGCATTTGAAATCTCCGGCGACAAGCCTGATCTCGAGGTTAGTTGAATCGATTTTTTTCCCGGAACTTTCTCTGATCTCCGTCCATGTCAGTGTGGTTTCTGGTCGATTTAGTGTAGCGTGTTTTTCCGGTAATTTTCGCTAGATCTGGCCGCAATTTCGTTTGATCTGATTTATTCGTACGCGTTTGATTAGCTTTTTCGTCCGTGATTCGTCGGTGGAAGCTGTGAAAATGCCGGTGGAGGTGGAGAGAGACCAAGGAGAGGTGTCGGTGAAGGCTGATATTGAGAATGCGACTGAGAATAAACCGGAGATAGTAGTTCCGACCTCGAAAGAGGACGTCGGGAATGGGATCAGCCATGGCGGCAACAATGGCAACGGAAATGACAAGGAGGATTCAGATGGTTCCTATGTTTTCATAACGGAAAACGATGCCGTCGTAGATGATTCTGCTGAGTCTGTTTCTCTTAAGCCGGTTGATGCCAATGTGGAGAGAGATCTAAAGGAGGGAGAGAATCTGAATTCTGGGGAACTTAAAGTGGAGGCTACAAGTAGTGCCGATGATGTTTTGGGAGTCTCCCAAGATAGTCAAACCCTGGAAAAGTCTGAAATAGAAAGGACAAATGATGGACCAGAGGAAGTCGACGTTGGGATCCCAAAGTCGGAAATCGAGGATCTTCTCGGAAAAATTGAGGAAAAGCAGCATCCTGGGAATGGGCATCTTGAAATTGGGCACGATGGTAAATTGGAATCTACAGAGAAAGTGGAACAAAGTCAAGATTCTGAAGCTGGACCCGGGGATCTGCCAAAGAATAACGCTGAGAATCCTGCGAATTTGCAGGAAAAGCTTGAAGATAAAATCGAATCTGATGTTAAAACAGACGTGGATGTGGATGCTTCTGAAGATCTACAGCATAACGAGGATGTAGCAAAGCATCCAGTTGATTCAGATGAGAGCAAGGAGCCTGAGGTGGTGAGTGCTAAGGTTTCTCCAACTGACCCCATTAATGGTGGCATTAGCTTGGAAGAACCTACGGTAACAGATCCAGCTCATACTGTCAACGGATTTGTATCTGTGAATGATCCCACTGGGACGGAATCGGAATCTGCAGCAGTTTTGGAATCTGTTCCTGTTGAAAACGGCAAGGTGCAAGAGGTAAGTAGCGATGTCTCAGCTGAGACTCAAGCTCTTACTGCCGTCAGCTTGGAATCCCACACTTCTGGCAAAGATGGTGGTGCTGAAAATGGTCATAGCAAATCGGAATCTGAAGCGATTCAGGAACTTGATTTTGTTGAAAACAGCAAGGTGCAATCTGAGACTGGAGCTGTGGATGCCTCCTTGTCTGATGAGATTATGAATACTAATCAAGAATCTCAAGATGTCAGCGAACTTGTTTGTGATCAAGATGGAAAACAAAACATAGCGTCTGAAGTTACGGAAGTTGTTGACGCACCTGCGTCAGAAGTTGTTGAAAGCAGTGATGCTGTAGTTGTTGCCAATGATAGCGTTTCAGAAGATCCTATTCAGAATGATCAGTCGGATGCAGTTACTGAAGTGAAGGAAAAAGATGCTCCTATTGAGAAAGTTGAAGAAAACAACAGCGAGGGGAACTTAAATAGTGGTGATGTTTCTCTTAACTCTGCTGATGAAGCGAAAGAGTCACCTACAGGGGATCATGAGAGTGCTGAGACTCTCTCTACAAACACCAACGGACCATCGAGCTTGGTAGATTCCAAAGCTGCTGTATCTGAATTGGCAGAAAGCTCAGCAGAAGGAGAGGCTGGCGAAACGAGCGCTGTTGCCACGAAATCTGAAGCTGCCACTGTTAAAGAAATCACTGAACATGTTGTTGCACCCACTACTGAAGATGGTGAAATAAACAGAGAAGTCAATGGTGGTTCAGAAGTGAATGTGACGAAGACCACTCCTGTTGATGTGTCTGGGGATATACCACCTGAAGAAGTTTCTGAGATTGAAGGATCGGACATCAAAGAAAGATCTGCCATAAATACAGATGAAGAAGTTGGTTCCGATACTAAAACCATGGACAGCACAGAATCTCCTCTCGTCAACAATGGTATAGTAAAGGTAGGCGAAGAGGAGGATTCTAGGGAGGAGAAAAACGAGACAAGTAGCGCTACCGCCTCAGCCTCAGTTGAATCTGAAACCAAGTCATGTGCACAGGATCTTGAATCTAAAGTGGTTACATCTACTGATACCATACACACAGGAGCTAAAGACTGCGTGGACAGCCAACCTGCTGAAAACAAAGGAGGTAATAAGTTAATTAAAAATGAACGAAAATGAATTAGGTTACGTATTTCTTTTGTTCAGGATGAGAAGGCTGGAGTTGACTTTAAATCTAAATTGTTGTGTTCAGGAGATGCTGCTGATAGAACAGATGATAAAGTAGCCGAGATTGGAGGAACTGAGAAATTGGAAGCATCGTCTGTAGAAGGTTCTGCACTTGATGCTTCTGAAGGACACACTGTTGTGGCAGAGATAGAGAAAAGACCGTTTTACTTTCTACCTAGAGTTCCAAGATATGATGACGAAAAGTTATCTGAGCAACTCAAGCATGCTGAAGCGCAGGTTGAAGAGAAAACACAGAGTCGGGATGCTCTTAGAGCGGACATTCAGAAGATACGCGTAAGAGATGATTTTGAGATTTTTCATAAGGTAAAGCATCTTATTCTAAATTTGGCTCTGACATTTGTTGAAATGGTTATCTTTAGGCAACATGCAAGGACTATGATATCAGTTACAAGGCGGCCATGACAGAAGAGAGATCTGCAAGAAAAGCAATGCATTCAAAACGGCAGGAAATTGACGCCCTTCAGTCTGTGATTAGCCGGGTGAAGAGTGCTGCGTCTGTTGATGATATTGATTTGAGGGTGAGACTCGCAATGATCACATTTCTAGCTTTAAGTCTTTTTCAAGTTTTTGTTTTGTCAAATTTGATTATGCTAATCTCTTATCATTTTTTTCTGCCTCCAATCAGATGCATAACATGGAACACATGATACAACACGAAACTTTATCTCTGAGTGAAGAAAAGGGATTAATTCGTGAAATAAAGCAGTTGAAGCAACTCCGTGCGCAGATATCTTCGAGTATGGGTACCAAAGATGAAGTTAACCAAGCATTAGATGATAAAGAGAAAACAGAAGAGAGTTTGAAGGTACAGTACACTCTACACATCCTAGCACCCATTTTTTATGTCCCATCTAGATTTCTATAGTTGATACCCGTTCTTGTCTCTCTACATTGATCCAACCGATTTTGTCGGTACAAGGGTTTTATATCCTTCTACTTACATAACGTCCATAAGGGTGATTTAGTTATATGATCCATTCTTTGCGGAGATCATTTACACAGCGCAAATTTGACATATCTGGTGATCACAGGTGTTGAGGAAAGAACTAGACGTGCTCAGAAGCGATCTCTCAAAAGTCGAAGCAATCACAAAAGCTGCTAAGAAAAAGTGTGATGAGGAATGGGAAGTGCAGAGTAAACTACAAGAAAAGTTCAGAGCTGCTGATGCTGTTCGCCAGGAAGCGTTTGCGCACCTACAAGATTTGAAGAAACAACAACGAGAAAAGGTAACCCAAAGATCATCTGGAAGAAGACATAAACTTAAAAATGCTTGCATCTATCTGTGTTTAGACTGATCCTTCATTTTTTACTATGTTTTTCATAATTGCAGAACAAATATTTCTTCAAGTACAGAGATGATTCAAGGGCAGCAAGTGAAATGGCCTTGAAGAAAGACAGAGCATCCCTGCAAAGCCTTTGTTCTGACCAGGTATATAAGCAAAAGCCAAATTTCTACAGTGATTTTAATCCCTATATCTCTGGTTTGGCACTCATTATAGTCTTTAATCAGGTGGAGAACTTCATGAATAAGTGGAACAGTGACGATGAGTTCCGTAGCTACTATGTAAGATGCAACACAAGGAGTACCTTAAGAAGATTTGGAACCCTAGATGGACGATCCCTTGGCCCTGACGAGGAACCACCTCGGATCACTTACGCTACAAGAACTGACAGACTTAGAACTTCAAGTGACAGAGCAGCTAAGCTTGAGACAGCTCCACCAGTTTCAGCGCAAGAAGAGAAAGTTGTTAAACATGAAGGTACAAAAGTTGAAAACAATGGCAAGGCTGTTGCCAAACCCGCCGAGCAGAAGAGTCAGAGTCAGACCACTAAATCTAAAAAGACGGTGAAGCCAGATCAGCCTCCACCAATTGTAAAGGAATTGGTTTCTGAAAAAGAGGAGATAGAGAAGAAGGCGGAAACAGAGGAAGAAGGAAAGCAACCCAAGTTAACCAAAGAGGAAGAGGAGTTAATTAAGAAAGAAGAGGAGAAGAGAAAACAAAAGGAAGCTGCAAAATTGAAGGAGCAGCATCGGTTGGAGGAGATTGCGAAAGCGAAAGAGGCAATGGAGAGGAAGAAGAAGAGAGAGGAGAAGGCAAAAGCACGAGCTGTCCTTAAGGCCCAAAAGGAAGCAGAAGAAAGAGAGAAGGTAACTTTTCCATGACCCAAATCAAATTTCGATTGATTCAAAGTATCTAAAAGCATTATTCTGATGAACAACTATCTATTGTGTAGGAACGAGAAAAGAAACTAAGGAAGAAGGAGAGAAGAAAGGGGGTTATTACATCAGACGAGACAACAGAGAACCCAAATGAGGCATCAGAAACTGTAGTCGAAACCCCAAGGGAGATTGAAACTCCAAAGAAACAAGCAACGGAGGAGAGTCAACAAATCAAGAAATCACACAAACCATTGTCACAGTTTCTGAAACAAAACAAGTCAAAATCCATTCCTCTGCCTCTGAGGAACCGAGGAAGCAAGAGAAAACTGCGGCAATGGATGTGGATAGGGCTCGTTGTTCTTGTAGTCCTCGCGTTGTTCCTTCTTGGCAACGCCAATCTCTCCTTCTCTCGTGCAAAGCTCTGGTTTATATAAGAGAAATGAAGAAGTGGCACACTCTCTCCATTGTGCTTTTTTTATAGTAAGTTTTTTTATTTTGTTTTTGGCTACTCATCTTAATTAGTTTGGATTGTGTTTGGTGCTTTTTTATATTTATTTATTTTCTTAAAGTGGAAGCTTTGATTCATTGATTTCACACGGACGACAGACATTAGATTGGTTTTGCTTGCTCTGGGGTATATGTCTAAGAAACACGATTTTCAGTTTTTTTTTTCTTTATACCATAATATATTTATTAAAGCAATAACGTCTTCCCTTCTTTTTATATTGAAATCATAAATTATATGTGTCCCATAATTAAAAAAGAAAGAAAAACGGTCTGTCGAAGCTCTCGTCTTCAGTCACCTACTCTTCCATCTTTCATTAGCTCGGTCCTCCTCAAAACTACGTCTCTTTAACCTAATTACAGATTCCGATCACATGCATACAGACGCTCATGCCTTTGTATCTTTTGGTTTCTTTAGACAGAACTAGTTTTTGTTTTGTTGGGCTTTTGTCACTATCTTATGATTGAATATTTCCCTTTCGTTTATCTTTGTGAGATATTTCGTTTTCACTATGTAAACGAAACCCTTAACGATTTTCATTCATTGTCATCATGATTATGTTTCCTTCTTCTAGCTTTATCTTATCTTCTTAAGAAAAAGAAAAGGAGAACATGAACTCCTTGTTTTCACAGCTTCACCTACAATATTATATGGAATTCAAAAAGCGATAAAACAACATTATCCCCGAATGTTTGACTCTAACCTATAAATTTTATCTCTTCCCGTGAGTCAGTCATGACCCACAACAAACTTTAATTACAAAGCAAAAAATAGTTCGTTTCGTAATATGAAATTCGTGGGCTCTTTAGTTATATCATGAAACAGAGATGTTGAAATCAAGATTAGAAAAATTAGTTGCGTTCAAACTCAGCCGAATCTTTTTTCATTCACAACACACGTGGCACATAGCTGTCGCATTATCCATTTGCTTTTGGATAATTATTTTCTCAAATTTTGTAAGTGAATGGTTTCATATTCCATTTTGATAAAATTTTAAGGTTTTGTGTCTTGAATTAAAGTTGTCAAATCCTAAGTTTCACATCAGAAAACAGTCAATCGTAAATAAGTGGTTAAGATAGGGAAAATGATTGTACTTACATAGTCACGAGTCATGACCACGTCCAATGAACCTCGCACTCAAAGTTCAAACAAGAAAAGTTAAATCTGTACGAAAGAGTTTCTCATTAAGTTTCTTCTTTTAACGTATGGACATCTTTTGGTGTTTATTGCTGAAACGTAAATGTTGCGTTGCGTTTAATTTATTTTGAAGTTCTATTAACTATCAGTCAATCACAATAATTAAATAAATCATTGTATAAACCTTAAGCATAAATTCGTTGCCAAAACAAAAAACAAAAAACCTTAAGCATAAATGATAAATGTGTAGAGAGATGGGATATCTATACATACTAGTTTATATTTGTACTCCTATGACAATGAAAATAAAAATCCGCCGTTGTTCGTGGTAAGAAGCATGTTGCATGAGGATGTTGAGAGAGATTAGGCTCAATACATTGCACGTTTGATCTGTGATTGGACTTTGGACCACCATGTGACATTTGAGTACTCTCTTTCTTTCTTTTATTCCAACGATTCATGGTTTGATTCGGTTGCTCGACTCGGTTTAATCCTAAACTTTTATACTTTATTTATTCTCTTTTGGCTTCGATTCAGAGTATGTTTTTTTATTTGAACACTCTTTCTTTACAAAGTATAACAGAAGTTTTCGGTTTTGCTTATAAAAAAAATCGTTTTATTTGATAAAAACAACCACAGATACAAACAAACAATTTTCTTTTTTCATTTTTCGGTTTAGTTTTCTAGCTTTCAGCTAAAATCTATCCATCAAATTATAAATTATTCTGATATGATTTCAGTTTTGAATGGTTTAGGTCTATTTAAAAGTCAAATCTTATGTCTTATGGTATTTAATCATATGTATATAGTATAATATCATATGATCTGATTATTGTATTAGTACTTTATATATATAAAATGTGGAAAATTTTAAACTGTAGAAGACACTGATCAAATCCAAAAGAATTGGTATAGTATAAGATCAAATACATATGTATATATATGGAAGTACAGGTACATATATATATATATATACGTGTATATGAGAAGGTGTAAACTAAAGAAAAACAACACTTTTATTCCATGAAATGTTTGGACGGGAATCGTGTCGGGGGACACACAAATACAGTAGTTATTCAGTTCTATTATTTACATCAAAATGATTAATCATAATCAGGGTGTTCAATGTTCTTTAGAAGCCTAATGTTGAAACCGAATAACTTCATAGTATAAGCAGCTAGCAAACAAAAATATAACATTTTATTATCATGACTCAGGAGTGCATAATGCATTTGACACTAGAAGTCGAACGTGATGATATAGAAAATTAGAAAATGATAGTCAATAAGCATTTCGACAAAATTAAGGGAAAATAAGAAAAGTATAATGAATTAGCTTCTTTGGGCATGATCACAACCTGTCATGTTTCATTAGTGTTGCATCGATCGACAAAAGTTTCTCAAATATAAATTTGAAATATAACTTTTAATAATGTTAATTGTCCATTATTGGCGTGTGTGGTTTGAATTCCCATGATCGTTTCGTTTCTAATACTTCCACTTCCAGGTTCCATAAAGTTATACACTAAAAAAAACTTAGGTTGCATTGCAGGAATTATAGTTGTTATACAAAAGAATGTTACAATAAATGAGAGGTGTATATAGTGTGTACATAGAGAATTATAGTATCTTCTTTTTTTCTTTGGCAAAACACTAGCATGTAGACGTAGTCATCGAATCATAATATACAAGTTTTGTGTTGTTAGAAGAAGAAAAAAGATCACTATTAAATAGAAGTATCATAGTACAACAATAGTAGTAGTATAGTACAATAAACAATGGAAAAACAATAAACAATGAAAACCATATTAATTGGTGACAAGCGAGATTGTGATCCAATTCATTGCATTCGTCTTTACGTACCAACTCACAGCTTTTTCTCTTACACATATTCCCATTAACTATATGTCTATATGTAGTAAACATAAACCATCAACTGTTAACATTTGGCTAACAAAATTATGAGATGTTTAGAGTTGAAATCTCAAACTTCTTTAACCAATATTATGTAAATTACTTACCATAGTCACTATGGATTAACACTAGGAACGCAAAAATCGATGTAGAACGAATAAAAGGTTGACACGAGATGATTAAAATGAGCGCGATTCACAGAGATGGGTTATAATAATGCTAAGAAATAATTAATAGCGATTTTGATAGCACCGTCGTTTTCTAGAACAAGAGAAGAAGAAGGACAAAGGAACGAGCCACTTGCACGCGCGTAGGGACATTTCAACATAAAAGAGAAACCGTACGTGTGAGGTGTGGTCTCTCTATCTCATGTCTTGTCCAATCTGTTCAATGCCTGTCTATAGGGAGGCTACTTTCGTAATTATTTGGAAAACGTATGGGTTGTTTAATCTTTTCACCGATCGACAGGTTTTGGGTGGAATTGTTTTTATCCTTGCCTTACGCGATGACGATGACGATGACTTCCCCGTAACGCGGTGTCGAAGATTTAAGCTTCGTATGTAGATTTTGTAAGTTGTAACAATAATACGAAATATATCATGATATTTTCCAAGCCTTTTATTTTACTTTGTTTCTTATTTCTCCTCTTTTTCCGCTGAAGTGATTAGAGCTATGAAATAACTGAATATCCTTCTTAAATAAGGCAAAGTAAATGACATCTCAACTCTAGCTATAATCGAGTAGACAATGTGTTAGGCAAAGTTTGTTAGGACTTATGAGAGCTCCATCCATGTCCCGAAAGAAAAGTCGACGATAGTTTGGTTATCACACTCATCATTCATCACTTAGGCATGTTACATGTTTTTTATAAAACTATAGTACTTAAATTAAATATATGTACCAGTCTAACATGTCATGAGTTGTTATGAGTTATAAAGTAGATGGTTCGTTGGATCCACACTAAAAGATGGTTAAATATACAAGTAAATATGTTTCTCAACTGTAATTCTATTATTAGGTTTTATTAGTTGCTTACATGTATTTTTTTTTTAACCTCAACTATACAGAACAGTGGATGATCTCAACAAGATCAAAAGTTCATATGCCACAACTGTTTAACAAGCTTGTTGACTAAATAGAACTCGTTAATATAATACGTAAAGGTGTGAAACTAATGGATCCGTTAATTAAGGGGTAAGAAGAATTTAAGAAAACTCAGTGTTGAATTTGTTTTTAACAAATGGATAAAAAGCAAGAAAAAAAGTTGGAAGTGTCTTGGATCCTTCAACTATCTCTCAAATGGGCGGCTCGAATAATATATACAAATGCCCTCGTCACTGCTCGAATTTACACTATTTGCCACCTCCTTTGAAAACAAATAAGAAAGAAAAAAAAAAGTTATCGTAGAAGGTAAGGACTTGAAGACACCAGAACAAGGAAAAAAAGCTTACCGAAGAAGACGAAGAAGAAGAAGGAGGAGATTTGGGATCGTTTTTTGTTTGAAGAAGATTAGTTCGAAGAGAGATAGAGAATCTGGTGAGGAGAAAGATATTATTTTTATCGTTACATGGGTTGGATCGGGGAAATCTAGAAATTGAAGATTCGTTTTTTTCTCGAAATTGTTCGAATCTGAAATCTAGAATTCGATTTCGGGTGATTTTTTTTCATACCGGAAGTCGTCTGTAGCTGTCGTTGGATTGAAGAAGAAGAAGAAGAGTTTGATGCTTGAAGCTGCGATTCTGCATCGGATTTTTGCGTTTACTGAATTTGAAGCTATGAGTAGGCACGTTGGTTCCTTCTTCAGCTAGATTCACTGGAGATTTTCTTCTACAAACTGAATCTTCTTCACACCTGATCTAATCTATTTCTGGATACAAAATTTTCCCCTGAGAAAAAGGGTCCGATTGATTCCTCGCGTGGAAAGAGGAGCGAAGAGTTTGAGAGAGAGAGAGATGGAGGAGGTAGGAGCTCAGGTGGCTACTCCGATGTTCATTCACCAATCGCTTTCTCCGATGGGGAGAAAACGCGATCTCTACTACCACTTGTCGAATCGTCTGGTTCCGTCTCAGCCGCAGCCGGAGCGGAGAGACGAGTGGAGCTCTAAGATGTGGGATTGGGATAGCCGGAGATTCGAAGCTAAACCGGTCGACGCGGAGGTTCTCCGGCTTGGGAACGAGAAGCAGTTTGATTTGAATTCGAATTCGCGGAATCAGAGTGGAGCCAAGGAAGGAGAAGAGAGGGGACTCGATTTGAATCTGGGAAGTTGTGTGGACGCCGTGGAAGACACGACGCAGCAGGCAGCTAGGCCGAGCAAGAAGGTCCGGTCTGGATCTCCGGGAGGCGGCGGAGGGAACTTTCCGATGTGCCAGGTGGACAATTGCACAGAGAACTTGTCTCATGCTAAGGACTACCATAGAAGGCATAAAGTGTGTCAAGTTCATAGCAAAGCTACTAAAGCTCTCGTTGGGAAACAGATGCAGAGGTTTTGCCAACAGTGCAGCAGGTAGAAGAAGAAAAAGAGTCTTGATTTCTCTCTTTATGGTTCTTTGTTATTAAGAAATGAGGTTTCTTTTGCAGGTTTCATCTTCTCTCTGAGTTTGATGAGGGAAAGAGAAGTTGTAGGCGTAGATTGGCTGGCCACAACAAACGGAGGAGGAAAACGACGCAGCCGGAGGAGATTGCGTCTGGGGTTGTGGTTCCGGGGAACGGCGGAGATAATGCCTCTAACGCTAATATGGATCTTATGGCTTTGTTAACCGCATTAGCTTGTGCACAAGGTACTAGCTTGAGACTATGGAGAAGTTTTGCTTGGATGTTCTTTGTTTTATTAACAAACTATGTGTTCTTGCAGGTAAGAAAGAGGTAAAGCCAATGGGGTCTCAAGCTGTGCCTGACAGAGAGCAGCTTCTTCAGATACTTAACAAGATAAATGCTTTGCCTTTACCTATGGATCTCGTCTCTAAGTTGAACAATATTGGTAGTTTAGCCAGGAAAAACTTGGATCAACCAACTGTGAACCCTCAAAATGATACGAATGGGGCTTCTCCTTCTACCATGGATTTGCTTGCTGTTCTTTCGTCGACGTTAGGCTCATCTTCCCCTGATGCTCTAGCCATACTGTCTCAAGGTGGGTTTGGTAACAAAGACAGCGACAAGACTAAGTTATCTTCTTGTGACAACGGTGGTGGTAGTGGTGGTGCTACAACCAATTTGGAAAAGAGAACTTTTGGGTTTTCTTCCGTTGGAGGAGAGAGGAGCAGTAGCAGTAACCAGTCTCCTTCTCAGGATTCGGATTCACGTGGTCAAGACACGAGGTCTAGCTTGTCTCTACAACTATTCACCTCATCACCTGAGGATGAGAGTCGACCAACAGTGGCATCCTCGAGAAAGTATTATTCTTCAGCCAGCAGTAACCCTGTTGAGGATAGGTCGCCATCTTCATCTCCAGTCATGCAGGAGTTATTCCCATTGCAGACCTCCCCTGAAACCATGAGGTCTGAGAACCACAAAAACACAAGGACTGGTGGTTGCTTGCCACTTGATCTCTTTGGTGCATCAAGTAGAGGAGCTGCAAATCCTAATTTCAAAGGCTCTGGACAACAGTCTGGTTATGCTTCTTCTGGCTCTGACTACTCTCCTCCTAGCTTAAACTCTGATGCTCAGGTATGCAGCTTGTCAAATCGTATTTATCATCTATGTGTGAGTAGAGTAAAACAAGAGCTGCTTATGATTTTAGTTTGGATGACATTTAAACAGGACCGCACTGGAAAGATAGTCTTCAAACTACTTGATAAAGATCCAAGTCAGCTCCCTGGGACATTAAGAACTGATGTGAGAATTCCTATAGTGAAATATAGAGTCATTAATTGCTTCCATCGAATCCTCATAGTAATTCTCTCTCCCTTTTTCAGATCTATAACTGGCTTTCGAGCATTCCATCAGAAATGGAGAGTTATATAAGGCCTGGCTGTGTTGTTCTGTCTGTCTATTTGGCGATGTCACCTGCAGCCTGGGAACAAGTGAGTAGAAATATTGAAGTGTTTGTTCATTGAACTATAATATGCTACGCTATGTGCAGCTTAGGAGCAGTTGATTTTGTTTTGTTTTCTCAGCTTGAGCAAAACTTGCTGCAACGGGTTGGTATTATGTTACAAGATCCTCATTCAGATTTCTGGAGAAACACGAGGTTTCTAGTCAACACGGGCAGACAGCTCGCATCCCACAAAAATGGTGAGTGTTCATGAGCTGGTTCTTGTCTGTCACCTTTAATCTTGCCATTTTACGTCACTAATTATCATAACATGTCATTTGGTTTACAGGTAAAATACGTAGTACCAAATCTTGGAGAACATGGAATTCACCAGAGCTCATCTCAGTGTCACCTGTAGCTGTGGTGGCTGGTGAAGAAACAAGTTTGGTACTAAGAGGTAGAAGCTTGACTAATGATGGGATCAGGTAAATATAAAAAAATCAAAATTTCATTGAGAGATTTATTTATTCCCTTTCTAACTTTTATCAACTATCATTGTGCCTCCAGTTTTCGTTGCACACATATGGGTAGCTACATGCCAATGGAGGTAACCGGAGCAGCGTGTAGACAAACCATATTCGAAGAGTTGAATGTAAATAGTTTTAAAGTCAAAAATGCACACCCTTGTTTTCTTGGACGCTGTTTCATTGAGGTATGACTTCTTATAACTGAACTTGAATAGTTTTCTTCTTCAATCCAGAGATGTTGAAAGCCTAGTTTGTTGTATACAGGTGGAGAATGGATTCAGGGGTGACAGTTTTCCATTAATAATCGCCAGTGCAGCCATCTGCAAGGAGTTAAACGGCCTTGAAGAGGAGTTTCACCCTAAAAGTAAAGATATTACAGAAGAACAAGCGCACCGTCCAACATCAAGAGAAGAGGTTCTATGCTTCTTGAACGAGCTTGGTTGGCTTTTCCAGAAGAACCAAACCTCCAACCCTGAAGAACAATCCGAGTTTTCCCTTGCCCGCTTCAAGTTCCTGCTCGTCTGCTCGGTTGAAAGAGACTACTGCGCTCTCATCAGAACACTCCTCAACATGTTGGTAGAGAGAAACTTGGTGAATGGTGAGCTAAACAGAGAAGCCTCCGATATGCTCGCCGAGACTCGGCTGTTGAATCGTGCTGTCAAGAGGAAAAACACAAAAATGGTCGAACTACTCATTCATTACTCTATTACGACGCTCGGTGCCTCTAAAAAGTTCGTTTTCCTACCCAATATAACTGGACCTGGCGGTATCACACCTTTGCATTTAGCTGCTTGTACCTCTGGTTCAGTTGATATGGTTGATCTACTAACCAATGATCCACAAGAGGTAATGTCTCTCTCTCTCGGTCACTCTCATGTGATGCAAAAACTCAATTTTTCGATTCCTTAAGACTGAAAGATCCGTTTTTTGTGTGTGTGTGTTCACAGATCGGATTATGGAGCTGGAACTTTCTTTGCGACGCAACAGGGCAAACTCCATACAGCTACGCTGCAATGAGGAACAACCATAACTATAACTCATTGGTGGCTCGTAAACTTGCAGACAAAAGAAACAGGCAAGTCTCTCTAAACATGGAGAGCGAGATGGGTGTGAGCAAGAGACAGAGTTTAGAAGTGAACAAGTCGTCTTGTGACACGTGTGCAACCGTGGCTCTGAAGTATCAGAGGAAAGTCTCGGGCTCGCGTCGTTTGTTCCCAACTCCTATCATTCACTCGATGCTTGCGGTTGCGACGGTCTGCGTTTGCGTCTGCGTTTTCATGCACGCTTTCCCTATCGTCCGACAAGGATCTCATTTCAGTTGGGGAGGTTTGGATTATGGCTCCATGTAGAAGGATAAATAAATAAGTTATATAAATTATTCTTTTGGTTTCACAACGGACGAAAGAAAAATGAAAAAGGAAAGCTCAGAGACTTGTGTGACTCGGTGACAAGTGACAACGGCCAAGTGAATGGCTTCGGATCAAAAGTCGAAAGAGAGGCGAAAGATTCACCGTCGGGAGTTTTTTTTTTTCTGTTAGTTATATATATTTTGGTTGGGTAATTTATTGTGTATTTCTGTGTATTTCCTACTGTTTCATTATTTTGACTAAGATAATAACCTGCTTCTTCATAAGAGAAGCACTTATTTTACTCTTTTTTTTTGGTTCTTGGTCTTTGTAAATTTCTACTTTGTACAAGTAGTTCTGATGTTGTTGTAACTTAATTTTTTTTTTCTTTTGAACTTGTTTTTCTTCAACACGACCAAAGGATGTATTTCTTTCCACTATCTTATTTTTCGTCTCTCTTTCATTTTTTTTCCTCCTTAACTTGATTTTAATTTGGGTAACATTAAAATTCCAAATATTCGAATAAACTAAATATTTCGTGACATGTGATGTTCAAAACTTGACAATCTACGTGGAATCGTCATATATTCATTGCTAGTTCTTCCTCCTATTGGTATCGGTTTCCACTCTAAAGATTTACAGTAGAGATGACACTAATACAACTTCTTAAAAGGAAACTCTTGAACGAGGGAAGGAAAGTGAAATCATATGTAACGTTACATTTCAAAAGTTTATTCCAATGGCGACAAGGCAAGCAAATCTTGATATATATATATATATATATAAGTTTGATGCGTATGTAAGTATATGTAAGGCTTCCAAATTAATGAAAAGTTCAAAACTTGATGAAACAATAGGAGCAAACTTGAAACAAAATGTGAGTGGTGGTGGGTCTCATTTCTCACTTTATAAGATCCGAAATGGGATTTACATTTGATGCGCCTCTCTTTTCCAAGATGCTATTGGGTAGCTAGCTTTGTGACTTTCTTTCTATTTCTCGTTTTGTAATATTAAACCCAAATAATTACCCTATTCATGTTTCCAACACACGAAAAGTTACAGTATATGCGTTTAATTTAATTACAACGTATTCAGCTAAGCATCTACATGTGAAACATAAAAAAATTCTTCTTCTTAACTAAATTAATGAACACCACACACAAATATAATAACATAATATCACTTATATACCCAAACTAATTAAACAATACACATTTTTTTTTATGAATTATTGTATCCTCAAATTTAATCAAAATAATAATACCCCACTACCCACACCAGATAAACACAACACTTCACTCTATGTACTTATCAAAGGCATCATCAACACATAGCAATACAATCATTTCCATACACAATTAGGCATCAAACAATTCCATACTTAATTACCCTCCTCTGACACGTGGAATTACCGTAGTGGCACCTTCATTTCCACGGCCGCCGCCGCCACCTCCACCTCCTCTAGTCACACCGTCCAAAATAGCCTCACCAACACCTTCACCGATACCTTCCATTATACCACCGAGAAAATCAATCACAACCTGCGACGCCAACCTCGCGGCCGTTCCCAAAACCGCCGGAGACTTGTCCTTCCCTTTGTGTCCGTTTGCTCGGAGCCCGTTTACCGCGGCGTCTTTGGCGCAAACGGCATGCAAGTGGTAATCGCAGACGGTGCAACGGTATACCCTCCCGACTCGCTTACCTCTCTTGCACTCTCCGCAAAGAAATCCACCAGCGGCGCCGGAATAATCTCCTCCAGTGGTATTTGCGGCGGAGGAAGAAGGAAGGAGGCGGAGAGGGTGGTGGTGGAGAGAGGAGGAGGAGAGGGAAGGAGATAACATGGCGCAGCCAGGATGCATTTGGAAACTGCAAGCTTTACATCTAAAGTTGTAACCTTTTGGTGATCTTCCACACACGTCGCATTTTGATTTCATTATACCTCCTTTCGCTGTTTATTTATCATTAAAAAAAATGAAAAAATGAACAGTGTTTTCATCCCCTTGGAACCATAAAGTTTGAATCGTTTTTTTCCATAATCACGTTACACCAAAGCTGCATATTACTAATTAAATACAGTGATTAGACATAAGTCTAGTCATTCTTTTGTTCAGGTATAAAAAAGCAAATTTCAGTTACATTTTATTTTATTTTACTTTTGGTGACTTCATTTTGTTTCACGATTATTTTTATATTTTTTCAGTTTCCGGGATTTCAACATTTTGCGTTTGAGACCCTAACATTAGCCATCATCATCGAAATACTAAATGTATGAAGAAACAAAAACGTACGATCAGGTTGAGCCGTTTCCATAATTTATACCATAACAAGATTTCATCAAAAAAAAGCATTTGAAGGGGAGGCAGTTAAAAAAGCGTACCAGGCTTGGCAAAGAAGAGAAGTTGATGCTGGTAGTGAAAAGGGTGTGACTTGAGTAGAGGCGGAGCCAAAGCACAAAACTCATGCAGCTGATAATCGCACTCTTGACACACGAACCTAATCCCTGCTCCTTCTTCTTTACACCCTGCACACGTGTAGATATCAGGCAAGTCAACTTTGACCAGCACGTGTTGAGGATGTCCGAAGTGGACCATCTCTTCCCCTTGTATCAGTTGAGGAGATACCGGAAACTCTACGGACCTCGGTCGCGGTGGTTTTCTGTTAAGATCATTAGTGTGTGCTACGGCGGTTGCAACGATGGCGTTTGAGGCGGAACGTCTTAGAGCTGACGTTGCGGCGATGGTGGAGGTACTGTTCTTGGAATTGGATTTGGAATTGATGACTATGGATTTGCTTCTCATCATTCTTCTATTAAAGAATGAAAACTTTATGATTCGTTAGGGTTTATGGGTTTTTGTTTTTGTTTGTGTAGTACGGAGGTGAAAATAATGAGTGGTGAAATTTAAGTTTTATTTTCTCAATTGGAGTGGTGAAATTAGTAGGTGGAGATGAGTGTTTATTTATGGTGGAAAAATATTGGAATCTGTTTTAGTTACATAGACAGGATTTTCGAGAGAGAAGAGAAGTATAGCGTAGATTAATGCTTTAGGGTTTCTAGAAAGAAAAGAAGATGCTTCGTGTGGACTTAAATTGTCGGTAAAAGTAAATTAGGATTTAGTTGATTGTTTTTCTTAAATGCCATGAACAGATGTTGTGATATAGATGTGCCTTTACGTAAATATGTGTGTGCATGTTGACTATGTTATGCGAGTTAGTTTTGTGGCCATAGTTTTATAATTTTCCAAGTAATGAGTTATGGCATAAATGTTGTTCGTAGATTCTGTTATTAGTTACACTATCTAAACATAAGTTATAGATTTACCATCACATGCCCAAAATTTAGAAATATCAATTTTTCAGTCAAATTCTAAATCCTTTAAGTCTTTTGTCCTGGCGATGATCACACCGTCGACCTATCCTTTGGATTGGTCCTCAACGCCGTTTAACAATAGTCCTTACAAAATCACATTGCACTTTGCAATCTATGTTTGTTCATCCCCTATATATTTTTTAAGTGTGCGCACAGGTCACAGGAGGAAAGGGAAAAATAAAGTCTGAAATATAATAAGCCAATTTGTGGAAAGCACATGCATTAACGAGAAATGCTTAGTTCCCTACCAAATCCGACATTGGAATATATCACAGAAATGTAACGGGCCCCGATTTTGTTCCGATTCCTCGCGAGATCATACAATAATTTGAGTGATAGTTTGCAGGCAAGCCCCAAAGACAATTTATGTAATTAATTTCTCCTAATGACCAATTCAAAAAGTAGTATTCGTTCATAGACTTTGGTTCAATGTTTTACTTAGTGGTGGATTTACGAGAAAGTCTTTTTGCCAAAACCCATGTGGTCATCCCATGAGATAATTAAAAATACAATTATGGTTGTTTCAAAATTAGTTAAAATATATTGTTGAGAAAACGTAAAAATGTTAAACGTTGACACGTTGTAAGAATATCCTGAAATTAGTACAGATTTCTGCTTGGAATCGTTAGGCTATCCTGAAGAATTCTATGTACAATGTTCATAATCACATATCGTTAATTAAAATTCGGGATAAAATAGTCAAGCTTAGGATTTCTTTTTGCATGAAACAAGAAAATATATCAAACAAAAATCTCAAAACTTGAATATGAGCAACATTTGTCACCACACCAAATCATGGGTCCTATCATGGAAATAATTAATATTCTTCACCACGATCCACGAGCAGCTTCTCATTACAAGCTATTGAAATTAAGGGAGATTCACTATGCCTGTATCCTATATTACACTTTTGATATTTCTAAATTTCAACCAATTGATAAAAAAACAGAAGAAATTAGAAGACACAGACAACTTTCTGCTTTGTATGCGCTGTAAGGAAAGGAAAAGAGCATCAAAGAACAACAGAGGACTGACACCATAATTGATTAAGATTCTCACTCAATTAAAAGTAAAAGACATCAAAACTTAACATAAGTCTTGATTTTAGCCAATTGTTCCACTTTGTCCAATCCCACAAGTTATTCCACACTGTCATTTCATCTCCGGATTAAACATTCTTCGATTGATCATTCTTTCTCGATTAAACGAAAATAAAAAGTACATACTTAAGATAAAGAAGCGAAGAAAATAATATTTAGCCCTACTCTCTGCTCATAACAGTAATTTCCTCTTTACTCTCATACATTGTTCTGGTCTTCTGAATAATATACAATTGTTGTCAGATGTTGACATGCTTCTAGATTATGCTCAGAGGTCTATCGTATATCATATGTGATAGACCGATTCATCAATAACATATATTATGTGACTTCGAATCTGAATGTCGCATGATACAGTAATGAACTAATGATCACTGATATAAACCACTAGACTACACATTATAATGATCGTGTAATTGATATGTTTAGAGGTGGATATTCCCAAAAAAAAAAGTTTAGTTTAATTTGGTTATGTTAGTTGAGTTAGTTCGGTTCAAATAAAAGTAGAAGTGAACTCTTAACTAAAAAAGAAACGGTTTGTTTATGTTTGCTTTGTATCCGTTTCTTCAGGTTTGGTGAAATTATTAACCCTAATGATAGTTTTATGATACCAGATATCTTTTACAATGAACATTTCAGAAAAGTTGTACTTGTATCTTCAATTGTTCAAGTACATGGATGTAAGGATAAATCTAATTACTCGCAATATTGCCCTTTGGTAATGTAAGTCGATGCAGGCTTACAAGTTTACATTAGGCTTATAAAGCCCATAGTATAAAATTTACACTTACTGGGCCTGCTTTCAGCGAGACGAGTGTCGCTAACTCGTGGCCGAAGCAAATGTGACCGCCTGACCGGAGACGGACGACGGCCGGTTTCGTAAATATGAATAAGTTTACGTTCGTTATCGTTAAAGCCCCCTAAAAGGGGAGATGAACCTATTACTGTTAAAGTCGACACGTGGGATAGTGACTCTTGTCGGCTATACAATGCCACATGGCGTACACTTTTTTTTATCTTTTATCCTTGTCCGTATACTTGTTACTTGGTTTCTTCGAAAAGCTACTTCCCCAAATCGAGGACCTAACTCCGATAAATGCTGTCTATGTGTATCTTCATGCCTAATATTCATTGTTCGTGTTACTCATTTATTTATCTCCTTGTCCTTACGCTTATACGAAGAGTCCTTTTATGAAAATCGATTTCCGAGTGACAACAAATCAATGTCGGGTTTACAGTAACACATATGCTATTTAATGGAGCAAGTAACTGCCATATAGCTTCTCGCCATTTCGGAGGGTTAGTCGACCATATCGCTACTCTAATGGCTGCGTAGTTTAGTACGAGGTAGTGGCGGAACCAGCCAAAAATATTACCAGGTCAGACTGATATCAAACATAAGTTACAGGGGTCAATAAGCTAATATTTGTAACTTTTTATCAAGATAATTGTTCAAAATACATAGTAATTTTTTAAAAAAAAAACTAAAATTCACCTGGGTCAACTGACCCATGTCCTAGAGAGCTGGCTCCGCCACGATATTTATTCGACAATTGTTTCCTTCTTAGCTCAAATCTGAAGTTCTGTATAAACAATAGGCCAATGCTAGTAATAGTGACGACTGTCGACATTAAACATTCAACAAGAAATTCATTTTCTAAATTTCGTATTAGTTGTACTCAAACTTAAACAGAAACATTTTCTAAAGAAGACTCCACATAGTTAGAGAAACCATACCGAATCATCTTTTTATATACATTACGATCTTCATATTTTATTTTACAATGTTTTGTACCAACAATACAAGTCGTGAATGATAAACTAAGCCTAACTTTTAGAACCAACTTCTTAAAGCCAAGAAAAGAGTAAGGAAACACATAGCAAGTTAAATTAGTGAAACCATAAAAGATCGGAATAATCTATGATAAATAGGTATTCTAGATTTGTATCAAACACTTCAAAGTAAAAGTGCGTTGCCTAATCATATCTAATCTAGCATGATCACAATGTTCAGCTCTAATCTTAAATTAAACCACAAAGTAGTGAATATATTTAAGTTTAAGGATAAACTTTTTGGCATGAGTGTAATTAGTTAAGGGCTAAACATGTTCCCCATTGGCTCTTCTTCGCCACCAGAAGCAAGTTGTAAAAGAGAGTGAACCACCCAAATATATAAAACAAAAAGCAAAAGAGTTCAAATCCTTTTTATCGTGCTGCAAATTGCACCCTTTTTGTTGGTCTTTCAAATTGCACATTTATCTATATTAAATAAATATACTCCGAATAATAACTACTCCCTCTGTTTCATATTATAAGGGACTTTAGGGTTGGATACAAGAATTAAAAACTTATTTAATTTTTTAAGTTTTCAAAATAAAGCATATTTTATCATCAATTCCGAAACAATTCAACCAATGAAAAAACAATATGCATAATTAATAAAGTAAAAAGCAACCAAAAAGTTGAAAACACCTTATATTATGAAACAAAAAAAAAGTGTTAACCCCTATATTTTGAAACAAAGGAAATACTGCTTCTTTGTTTTAAACCGGTAACATAAACCCCCCAATCTATATCCTGTAAGGTCCGGATCTTGTCCGAATTGCCAAACTTAAAAGGAACACAATGATACATATATACTATCGATCGGTCCAGTTTTGATAGTACAATATACAAAAGTGGTTTGAAATAGGTTTTCATTCAGATCGTACTTAAAACCTTCATGTTTTTTGCTTGTGTTAACATAAAGCTCGTGTTTTCTAATGACTCACTTGGTCAAACGGTACACAAAGGTCACGTGAGTTACGTGCAACTGTTTTAAGCCTCCTCTCTTTAATTAGTGTGTGCTTTTAATCTATGCTAATCTGAAAGAGATAAGAACACAGAAAGATGTTTCTTCCACTTTCCTCATCAATGCTCTCTACTCTCTTTCTTTGGTCGGATTTTCCATTTACATTTTTAACTATTAGTGGTCACATTTTGGTCATGTATATAATTTCTATGACGTGGATCACACTTCTCTTTTCACATGCATGTCTATATCCTTAAGTAAAACATTAATATCATTCGACATACCAAATTGTAATACTTTATTTTATACGCCCTAAAAGTTAAGAGTTAGTGTAAAAAAATTGTCCCCCCAACTAATTAAACTCCGCTCCTGAAGTACCAATTTAACAAAGAGAAAACGTCATGAATCTTATATATAATTAGGGAGTTGCTCTCTCCATCTAGAGTGTCCACATCAGCACAAAAACATTAAATTGTATTTAAAATATTTAATAAATATATGACTATTCATATTTCTTTACATTTATTCATATTTAATAAAAATATACAAATAAATTGATTAATTAATAGAAAGTATGTGATAATTTGATGTTAAAAGTTATCAAAAAGTTGGAATATAAAATAGAGATGGAGTAAAGAAATATTCAACTTCAAATAGTATATATTTACTTTATTATTAAATTTAAAAAGTTCAATATAAATTAATTAAGACAATAGAAAGCTAATGAAACATTAGAGTTAGAGTTTAGAGTTTGTTTTTCTAAACAAATAGAAATAGAGTTTTATATGTAAATTTAATTGTAGTGAAAAACAAGAATATGTTTACAAATTTTAACCTTCAGTCAAATGCATATACATATTTATAAATTTTAACCTTCAATCAAATACATATACATGTTTACCGTCTAATAGAAGTAAACATAATATTTATAACATGATAAAATTTTAGAAATAGAAAACTCGAAGATAAAGGAGTGTTAATATCCTAATAAATTAAAATAAAAACAAATTATTCATATTTTTAGTGTTAGTGGTTGAGTTAACTCAAAACATAACAAAAACATGAAAGTTAACACAAAACCATCATAATTCAAATCAACGAGTATAAATAAAATTAAACAGAAAAACTATCGTAAACAACCCCGCGCTTGCGCGGGGCTTCAAACCTAGTCTTAATAATTTCGTTTTTCCACCCTTCAGAAATTCGTTATTCTCATGAAAATTTCGATTTATTAAAACTCTGACATTTCTGTTAACAATATAACCGGTAAAGTAACGAATGCATCATTTCCCATAACGACGTCCAAGTACAAAGCGAATCTCTTCGCTACATGGTTTGACTATAACCAGAGAATCTAACAGGTTAAAAAATCGTACACACACACACACAAATTACAAAAATCACTATAAAGTGTTACCCTTCTCTACTTACTAATTTTGTTTCAATTACATAAAACAAACTCCTTTTGTTATTTCTTGGATCACGTAACGTAACGTGGCAGCTAAACGCTGACCTATGAGTCGTAGCGAGTCCCTTTCTACTATTAACTCGACGGCTCAGGATTGGCCACGATCTTTAAAAAGTGTGAACCGGAGGGGCAAAAGCGTCCGCCACGTCCCACCCAAAGGAAAAAGGATTATACGAGAAGGCTCTTCTCATCCAACGGCTCAGATCTCACCAGACCACCCTCCTCTGTCTCTTCTCATACCCGTCGATCTTTCTGGCTTTTCATCTATCGCCACCTCTGGTTTTCTTCTTTTTCTTTTTTCGATTTAAATTGTAGTTTGAAAAAAACAAAGAACTAGGATAATTTGTCTATCTAATTCTGACCATACTTAATTTCCATTTCTTATTTGACTTTTTCAAATTCAAGTGTGATAGTTCCTTTGTTTTTCTTGTATCACTCTCAAGGTTTAACTAGACTTAACATCCACATATGTGCTTGTCTGCTATATTATACGTTTGTAATATCCCTGTCAAATGTCGAAAGGAAAAATGTGATAAACCTATCATAACATAACACAATTTCATAAGCAGTAATATTAACATTATCATTTTTGTTGGATAATAGATGAGGGAAATATCAAGGAACGCAATTATTTATGACCATTTTTGTGAACAATAATATCGCATTTTAACTTTTTATAATATAGTTCCATTTGGGTATTCTAGATGCACACTGAACAGACACGCATATTCACAGATACGTGCGTCTTTGGAGTACTTGAAAAAAATAAAGCGAGATAATGATTTCCCCAAATGAAATAAAGAACAAAAACAAATTGATTTTTCCCAAATAAAGGAGTCAGAAAAATATAATTAAGGACCAAACAAAAAAGCTACCTTTAACAATTAACAAAAATATAAAATAAATTTAAATTATATAAAAATGATATTCATATGAATATAAACCGCATAAACTTATCGTGACCGCCTCAAGAAAATAATAAATAAAAACAAAACCCTTTATTTTCTCTCATCAGCCGCCGCTTTCACTTACCTCTTCCTCTTCCTCTACCATCTTCTCGTAGGTTTCTTGCACTGGGTAGCTCGCAAATCTGGCTATCGAAAACCATAACCACAAGCTTAACTTCGGGGCCTTTAAGGCTAATCACAAGAAAGTCATGGTGATTCTTCTTTACCACCTTGTTTCTTTTCTGCTCTATTGTCCTCTCTCCAGTTTCTGATTTGGCTTCGAATTTCAGGGCCCGATGATAAGAACAGAGGATGAAGAAGACTGTGCGAGTCCACCGTGGCTAATGCCAATGCTACGAGGCAGCTACTTCGTGCCCTGTTCGATCCACGTCGACTCCAACAAAAACGAATGCAACTTGTTCTGTCTCGACTGTGCTGGAAATGCCTTTTGCTCTTACTGTTTGGTCAAACACAAAGACCATCGTGTTGTTCAGGTCCATTATCTTTTTTCTTTTTCCTTTTATTTTTTCCCCATTTCTTTATTTTTATTCAGAAAATGGAATATGAATTTGCAGATAAGAAGATCTTCGTACCACAACGTGGTGAGAGTGAATGAGATACAGAAGTACATCGACATATCTTGCGTCCAGACATATATCATCAACAGCGCGAAGATCGTGTTCCTCAACGAAAGACCTCAGCCCAGAATCGGCAAAGGTGTTACCAACACTTGTGAAATCTGTTGCAGAAGCCTCCTTGATTCTTTCCGCTTCTGCTCTCTCGGTTGCAAGGTACACAACACAATCTCCTGCTCTGTTTTCTTCCTCTCTTTTCAACATGTTCTTGTCTGAAAAAATGCTGTTTCCGATGGTTTGTCTTTGTTCAGCTTGGTGGGATGAAGAGAGGAGATCTAAGTTTGACCTTCTCTTTGAGAGGGAAGCATGGGAGAGAGTATGGGTCGGAATCAGATGAGGCTACCACACCGACGAAGATGCGTAAGACCAATGCTTTCAACCGTCTGATGAGTGGTCTGTCGATCTCCACCGTTAGATTTGATGACTACGGTCCAGGTGGCGATCAACGGTCTTCAAGCTCTGGCGACGAAGGTGGTTTCAATTTCTCTCCGGGAACTCCTCCGATCTATAATCACCGGAATTCAAGCAGACGAAAAGGGGTCCCACACCGAGCTCCGTTCTAAAAAGCAAAAAAAAAGTTACTGAATTTCAACCCCCCATGATAATTAATTAAATATATATAGATAGAAAATGGGATAATACGGATTAGTAGTATAATCAATAATGTATAACTCGGGGGATGAAATTTAGGATGTAGTCATAATGTTGTAAATGGGCCAGTGTCTTTTTCTTTTCCCTTTTTTTAGTTTTCTTTTCTTTATAGATAAAGGCGAAAATTAGACACATACATAAATACATTTTTTATAAATATAGATGTACTAGGGCTATATAGTATGTTAGCTTTGTCTAAAAAGGTATAATGTGGTGTTGTGAACTTGTAATGAAGTGTGTACATTAAAATTTTGTTCATATATATACAATAATAATAGCAAGTGAAATTATATTATACTATAACCCTAATGCGTTGTCTACTGCGAGTATTGCTAATCTTTATCTGATTTAAAACTAATTTACGTTGATAATATCACAAGAATGATGTAGTTGAAGTGGTGACGTTGTACTTATATATATATGTGTGCTAAAGTCGTAAGAGTGGCACTGAAATATTTGTTTATCATAATGTTGATTGATTTGTTATAGTTTGACGTAATCAAAGTATAGCATGATATACGCTAAGGAATATTTTTTGCGATGAGATGCTATGTCAAAAAAGTAAGCAAGTGGACAGGAGAAATAAGAGCCGTGTGGAATCTGAAAGGCTGCGATTCTCTGCCACCGTTAAGAGACGGGTGTTCATTACCAGATTACTCTTGTAATCTTTTAATTAGCATCATATTAGGCTATTAGCTTCTCACAATTGTATAATTAACATCTTGTCTGTTCATTCACCACACCTCCACATAATTGTATAATTGGCAAATTTTTACATTTGCGATAATATTTACATTTTACGACGTTTTTAGCCAACAATATTATCATCACAATTTTCGTTTTGTAAAATCATTTATATCAAAGATCAATCCATAAAAACTGATCTCAGATCTCCTATACATATAAGAAATACAACTGAAATTTTGATTGATGCTTAGGAATTATTAAAAATGTACTTTTGATCTTTGATTTACAAATGATTCAGAAAATGTACGCTGTGGAGCCACCACAACATATATGCATAAGAAATGGTTAGATCACTGTCCAAATCTATGAACAGAAAGAAAATATACGAACAGAAATTTCATTATTTATAATCTTATTCATTTGGATAAAAACATTACTATTTTAAAACTATACTTGCCAAAAAAAACACATACACAAGAGAGTATTGCGGCCAAAGGACGGTGGCTCCGCCACGTACTCCTTCAGAAGGGCCCCGCCGGCTGAGGCTGCGACCGAAGGGGGGTTATTTCAGACTTTTCAAGGTTCATTATTCCAACTACTTGCGCGTCCTCGTCACTACGTATACGACACGTGTTGAATAAACCCATTGGAGGTGTGACACGTGTGTAAGAAGGCTGTGAGGGGACCACGTGAGACCTTGTGGAGTTATCTTGTTCAGTCTCCCAAGACGTTAAGTAATATTAATGGGATCGCTAGCGACACGACAAGTAGTCAGATAAGGATTTGTCATGTCTTTTTTAAACTATTTCTATAGCTTTTTTTGGTGTCGTTATGTGAAAGTGTGATATTTTGTTTGTTTTTGTAACCTTTACTTAATGTGGAGGATATAGTCATATAGTAGTACTATAGTTCTTAAATCTTAATGAACCATAAATATAGTTATGAAAATCGCATTAACTAAACATTTAAACTGTAGGACTGCTGACAATCAAACATAAACTTTGACTATTTTACAGTTTCATAAACACATCGCAACCAGTTCTTTTTTCATCTCAGTGAACTTTAGTCTAAGGGATTGACAATGTTTTAACAGTTTCATGTGATTACTTTAAAACATTTATGTATGAAGATTTTAAATATCAGCCTTGTCGGTACAGACTACAGAACCTGTACCTATATTTTGTTTTTGTTATGGCCCTTATTATTTGACCCCAAAAATGAATAAGTAAGGTTTGTGAATGGTGGTGATCATATCTGAAATATCCACAGTACAATTTTTCATTTGGTGAAAATATCCCTAGTACATATAAATACTCTATCCAATCGTAGGGTTGGTACCAAACCAGATGTAGGGTTGGTTCAAATTTGATGGAATAAGACACCTAAAAAGAGACAAGTGAGGAGAGTGACAAATAACGCAAAACATTATAGATAAAAGTAAAATAATTTGAACGGGTAAGTTCCGTATTTTTCAAAAGGCTCGGATTCATGGTGTCGCTAATTACGTATTGCTCTCTTTATGATGTTAGACGCTGTTGGTAATTGTTTTATATATCCATTGCTTTCGTACATTTCATAATTTAAACAATTACGTACGCTCAGAAGTTATATTTAGCTAATCAGCTTCATTCATATATTGGTAGACAGTACACTACAAAAGGTAGGCAAGGATAGCTTTCAGTATACAGGGACACGCAATATTATGTGAAACCCTATGGTCTATTTTTGGTTGTATCTTAATCCTCTTAAGTGTTTGTTTCCATTCGGGTCCATGTAATACCTAAGGTCATTTATGGTTATCATAGTAAGAATAAGAAATATTCGAACAAACAAAAACTATCAGCTCCATCTTCTCCTCCGAAATTCACAAATTATATAGAACACGACGAATTTTGTTATATACATCACAAGAAATAAATATACATATGTTTTAACATTAATGTTGTGTAATTCATATACACACATTTTATTCTCAACAACAGTGGAGCCTTGTTCTTTGGTGTGTTTCTGCAAACATCAACAAACATCAAGTCTGTAAAGTGACGTTTAGGGGCCGAGGGTTTGCATCTATATATTGACGATTTTATTAAATCAAGACAATTGATCAGCTTCATGTAATAGATAATCTTCATGGTCATGGGCTACCAAAACGTTGATGAGAAAAGTACAATTTGACCACAAAAAGAAAAAAGTTCGGAAGATAATGTAAGAATGCAATTCTAAACAGGCGACTGATAATTGTAAAGTATTAAGATGAACAAATTAATATAATAAAATATTAAAATGATACAAAATAAACAAGAATTAAGGAAAATAAAACCGGATTTGCAGAGTCGAGATATGATCTCTTTCCTTAATTCTGTAAACGCCCCGTAGTGTGACGGTTTCATAGCATTCTGAATCCCATGATAAAACTGCATACTTATTATGATTGCATCACTCAATACATAAGCTTTCGAACCATGTTTTCTGTGATGTATTCTCATAAGAAAAACAAAATAAAAAGAAGAGAAGTAAAAAGATTGTTTCTTATGTAAGTGTCAATGAATGAGAAGACCAAACTTTAATATATAGCCATGCACTCTTAACGTTGGACCAACGTATATGTGTGCCATTGTGCCATAATGGAGACATTAATATCATCGATCAAATTTACATAATGGAGAATCATTCCATTAATCATAATCTTGACCATATAACACTTAATGGCAAATATATTAATAAGTTGACTAAGTCAAATATTAATATAATTGAAATAATGAATTTGCTTTATTGTACTTTATACAAATACAAAAGATTAACAAAATATTTGGTTTAAAAGAATAAGTTAATGGACATATAATCCAACTAACAAATTCAAACCCAAACTCAAATCCAAATTCAAGTCCATAAATTAATGTGGCTCATTTGCTAATTTTTACACTTAGCCAAATTTTAAAGCTTCATAAGCTTTTAACATTCTTTTTGGACCTTCATTTTTCATTCAAACTAACTTCATTTTAACATATCAAAAATGAGTTCTAACTTCATTACAATCTTAATTCTGTAAATTTTCGTTTTTGTTTATTACACTAACTAAAACTGATTTTTGTGAAGTGTTTGTGTTATGAAAACAGGAACTGGAAATTTTGGATTATTTAGAATAATTTTTCCAATTTTCTGCAAATTTATTCTAATTAGTTTTTGCAGATTATCAGGATTTAATTTTTCTGAAATTTACTCAGATTAATTATTTTTGTTGCAATATATCTAAACGAATTTTTTTTTGCAGATCAAGAAAGATGTGTGGCATGTTCATCGTGTGTTCACATGAGCAAATATTTTATGTTATGTTGCATCTTATTTGATTATGCTCATATGGTTGTATTTATCTCTATTGAATTTTTGATTTGTTTAATCAAAAATTATTTGGTCAATGCATTTTTAATATCCGTTGCTGCATTAAATCGTGAGGTGTAAATTGCATATGTTTGACTGCTTAGTCTTGCATTAAAGTAATATTTTTCTGAATTAAATTGCTATTTTGTGCAGTTAGTTAAATTGTTAATTCCTGAATTTATTTGGAGTTTTAATTTAATTGTTTGTTGCAATTTTCAGAGTTGATTAAATTGCTTAATATATTTTGATATATTTCTGATAATTTTTGGTATGATGATTCAGGTTTGGCTTTTATGCAAATTGAATCAAGGAAGAAAGAAAAAGAATACCAAAAATTAGAACATTTACAAAAATGTTTCTAAAGTGAAAAATCAAATGAGTTGATACCCCATGTTGGGAGTGGTCTACCATTTATGATTTTTCTCATACCATTAGTGGTTGAAGGGTTATTGGTAACAAGTTTAGTGAGTTGACATACCAAATTTATTTTGGTAATGGTCTTCCACTTGTGATTGTACCAAGTTATGATATTTATCATATTGTCATATTAGTGCTTGTAAACACAAGACTAATATGAGACAAATTCTGTGGAAAGGAGTTTAAAATTGGTTACAAAAGATATTGATCTTTCTAGCCATTGTTTAAACTTAAAATGTGAAAATGCAAAGTGAATGATTTTTGAGTTATCTCAAGAAATATGGGGGAAAAACATTGTTTACCACATAAAGTCATTGACAAAATGTCATATGAACTTTGAAAGGTAAAGTACATTTGTACAAATACCTAAAAGTGTGGGGTGCATAGCAAAAGTTGCAATGCCACTGCCTAAAATGTTAAACAATTGATC